AAAAAAATTTTGGTACTAGAACTCTGTCGAAACATCATCGATTGTTGAATACAAAATGTTGTCTGATTAAGACTTAGTATCTAGATACAAACTACATTTCAATTTGGACAGACAATTCCTTGTCTAAGTACAGATACTTTAGGGTATCTAAGTTAGTTTTGTCCACTAGTAAAACATTTTTGAAATTCACTTTTAAAGCTTATTAAAGTGCGTTGTCTTCGGTGCTTTTAACTTGTACACTTGAACAGATTAATACAATATATATTTATATATACTCGTATATAGACGTAATTATATTTATTTTTTAATATATATATTGTTTCTATGTATTGAATTGCATGTGTTATCTATTCCTTGTGGATTTGCATGGGATTAACAAGTTGCATTACATATTGTGTTTGCAAGCACGCATTGTGTGCGTTGGGGTTACGCCCCACTGTGTTATACTTATATTACTTATACACTCACACACATACACACATATACACACTCACACACACACGCACACACACACTCACACACGCACACACACTCTAACATGAGCATTAAAAGCCGCAAGCGAGCGTCAGCATCTCGAGTTTTTCAATGCAAACTGAAAGTTCAGCCATGTGGGTAGATGAGTGTGTGTTGCTTGTGGTGTAGGTGTGTGTGTGTGTGTGTGTGTGTGTGTTATTGCATGCCTCACTGCGCTGGATAGCTGCCGGCCGACAACCTTTTATTTTTAGCAGTCAACGCGTAAAAAATAGCAAAAAGAATGACGAAAAAAAAAAAGGAAAAAGGCAAATGCAAATGCTAAACAAAAAAGAAATGTGGAAAAATAAAAGGAAGAAAATCAAACAAACATTTACCAGCTGGAAATCTTTGGCAGCTCGGTACAGCCCTAAAATCTCAGCGAGGCGTGGCAAGCGCCAACGTTGACGTCAACGTCGACGTCGCCGTAGACGTCGTCGTCGTCTTGCAAAAGTGTTTTGCTATGCAATTTGAATAATTTAATGGATTTTTATGAGCAGTAAAACGTTTGAAGGATGGATGCACTGCCCTAACTGGCAGCCAGTCAGAACAAATACGAGCGCAAGAATGTACATGCAAAAAACACACACACACACATACATACATGCGTGTGTGTGTGTGTCTCACATACTTACGGAGATAAGCGCGTGCCGTATAATTTGAACTGGGGAAACATTAAGTAGAAAATATTTCAAATTCCTATGGAAAAGCTTGGTATATTTTTGGTTATTTTGTGTTTATCAAAAGTCCAATCAAGACTCGAATGAAAGTTTTAATATTGAATTTATAACGATTACAGCTTGCATTGAGAAGTAATAATTTTCGCTCAAAAGTACTTATAGATTGGAGTGAGTGTTTTCAACTCGACTTAAGGATTTATTAAGAAATTGAATGCAGGCTGATTCTGATTAGTACATTCATTTTTAAAGTCATCCTTGTAGTTATTCTTGCTCATTACTTTTATCTAATCAGAACAGTTGTGACTTTATTTGTGTTCCAATACTTTCTCCCAAAAAATAAGTCGGATTTGTTTCGTGTCACGTTGAAAAGTAAAGCTTGACAAAAATGGCCAACTCTAAAACATATCAGATCCCTTTTGCCGGCTGCTTTGGCTGACTGCAAAGACGCCGTAAATTTGTGTGTCGTGTCGCTTTGGGATTTGGTTTTGCAGTTCGCGACTGGAACTCAAGATGCGGCCGTTTCGTTGGGTTTTGTTCGGTTACAGGCTTGGCTGCTGGCTGCTGGCTGTTGGCTGCTGGCTGTTGGCTGTTGGCGCCTTTGTCTGTTTGGAGCAGGTCTGAAATCGTCTGCTTCGGTTTGGTTTGGTTGGGTTTGTTTTCTCTGGGCTTATTCAATTTCACAATCGCCGCTTTGCTGGCGTCGCTGAATCTGTGCAACTGGCTCCAATTGACTGCCGCGCCACTTCCGACAACGACAGCGACACCAACGACGACAACAACGAGGACGCCAAAGGCAGTCAAGCGTTTGGCTGCTGAATGCACAGCAGCAAAATCAACAGCAACAACAACAACAACATCAGCAACAGCAGCCAGGACGAGAACGTTGGCAGCAAATGCAATAAATTTTCAAGTCATTTCAACTTCCGGTGTGTGGCTCGATTACAGTTTAGTAGCTGTAAATATGTAGACACACACACACACAGACAGACACATACACGGCCATTCACTTTATCGCTCTCCTTCCCTCTCCCTCATTCTAACACATTCGCCATCGCCATCGCAGTGGCTTTAAACGGCTGCGGCCCGTTAAGTGTCGCCTCGCTTAAATTTTATGTTGCCTTCTTTTAGGCGTCGCACAGATTTTTTGTGCGCCATTGCCTACTTTTAAGGGCGCCATTTTAATTACAGTTCAATCCACTTGAGAATACGTGCAGCACCGAGCCAGAGACACAGAGAGAGAGCGTGCGCAAGAAAGAGACACTCAATTATCGCAGTTGTGTAAGTCAAAAATTATTACACGACCAGAAGACTGTGTGGAGATATATATTTTGGGGGGCAGGGCGTTAGGGGGAGGGGTGGTTAACTTTAGCTGATGCTGAGACATGGCGGCGACTATGCTCAGAAGTTATTTTTGCCGACACGTTATTTGCACTGTCATTGTCATAGGCTGACGTTGACGTTGATGCTGCTTTCGATACCCTGTATTCCAAAACAGTTACCAAGCAGGATATAATAGGTGTTCGGCAAACGTATGTTGCAAATATCTCTCAATCCATAGAAAATATATATATATTCTTGATCAGTAGCCGAATCTATTTAAATAGTAATTTTTAAATGTAAATAAAACTAATATATAAAAACAATCTCAAACCAACATATAGAAAGGAAATATGGTTTCATATCAAAGCGAAGTATTTAACGGACGAAGGATATTACATATTATATAATAATAATAATAATAATACAAATAAATAGTAGTTAAAATAATCATGATTATATGTAAGGAGTTGACTGCAGGGTATTTATTTAGTCGGTCACTCTCCACCACTAGAGCACTCTACATATTATTGTTGTCGTTGTTTTTGCTGTTGTTGTTGTTGTTGTCACTGGCGCCATTATTACAAATATTTTCATTGTTGTTCGTTAGCGTCGCCTAGTGACGCGGTTTTTCTTCCTGTAACTGTCACATTTGCCAGCCACTTCATCATTATCGTCATCATCATCATCAACAAGAAATAGCAGAAGAAGAACAATAACAACAACATCAACATCATTATCTGCATTCGCATCCGCTACCATTGAGCTACCAATACAATGTGGCCACATTTCTTTGGCTCCCTTTGAGTTGTGTGTGTGGCTCTGTGTCTATGTGTGTGTAATGCTTCTGCACTGCTCGCACTCCGCGCACTTTGCCATCAAAGTGCTCAACTTCTTCCGGTTTGAGTGCAAGCCCTTTACTTACTCTCTCGCTCACTCATTAACTCACTCACTCACTCGCTCGCTCGCTCGCAGCAGCAGCAGCAGTAGCAGTTGCGATAATGTCGATAAAAAAATGGCAGAAAAAATGTAACAAAGTTTATTAGCAAGGAGTTGTAAGAGTGGCAGAGAGCGAGAGAGAGAGAGAGAGAGGAGTTGGACGATAGCAATATTGCAGATCAGTACTACGGTCAATCGATTTAACAGCTATCGATATCTATAGAATTTGATATGAAAGCAAAACGGATGTTTGTCTCACGTATTGCTAAAATGAAAATTGCAAATAATTGTGATTCCCTTTCAAAACATAACAACTCGCTTCTGTGGCAACAACAACATCATGCATCTGAAAGATGAGCACAAAAGGCAGCAGCAGCATTTTTGCATTTAAGTACTTCTCAAATTGCAATTGCAATTGTAGAGTTGCCGAGTTCTCGAGTTGAGGAGCTTACATTAAGGCCGATTATGGCCATCATTGAAATTGTCATTAGACAGACGGTATTTTATGTGGCAGACAGCAGCAATTGCTTGTTGATTGAATGTTGGCCAAGGGCCGAAGGCACTGACACGGATTGGGGAGTGACTGGGGACGTTGACTGCTCTACTTTTGTAGAGTTGTGTCAGCTCAGAGACCGTTACATTTTGTACAACAATCCAGTGTCCAAATCACCACATTCCATTTACGATTCCAGTCTACATGTTTAGCCAAGTTGCACACCAACGAACCCAAACACTGTGTGACCAGACAGCAGCTGCCAGCGCCGTTGCCACTTAGATAAATTCAGTTACACCGAAAATGGCACAAGGCAAATGGTACAATTTTCAATATAAGAGAAGGTTTAATATCTGTTACTGTTAAGCATTAATAACAATCAATGTATTTAATTTAATAAAATTGATTTTAAGCATAGAAGCTGTGTGACATAGTAATACGATGTTGATAATACCGTGACAGCATCATAACACTCGAAACTGCAATGTACCAGTTCTTGGTACATGTGTACCATTGTACATATGTTTGGAAAGTGTCTGCTGTGTTTAGAAAGAGACAGCGCTGCCAGACCGTTCGGTGCTGTAGGCCAAACAGCTGTGTGCATTTTTCTAACTGGCAACAGCAGCGCACTTATACCGAGTGAATCACATACAAATATATATAGATAAATAAATATTTATATATGTATTAATATATATATATATATAAATGAGATAAATTATATCAGGATCAGATATTGGCTTTTTAATTTGCATGGCTGTCGCCAGTGGGCCTGGCCCCGTCTTTGACCACCCACCTGTCCATTGACGACAATTCTGTGCCGTTTGACGCTTTGACGTTTGATATCAAATTGCTTAACTAAACACTTGCCTCACAGTTACACGCACACGCACACACACACATACAGGCAAAAAGAGAGCGGCAAGCTGCTAAGTTTATTATATATACATGTAAATTCCGCATTAGCGATTGCGATTTCCACGAAAAACAACCATCATTTTGTATAAAACTAGATTATAAAAACATTTCGAGTGAATTTTTGCAATATTAAATAAGTGCAAATGTCAAGTAACGGGAATGAAACTGTTGAAAATCAGAGCAGCAGCTGTAACAGCAGCAGCTGTAACAGCAACGGAAGCAGCAGCAGCGGCTCCAACACGGAACCGATACAGTTGATGTTGAACAGTCGCAACGTGTCCACGGAGCAGGCAATAATCGGTGTACCGCCGTCGCCCACAATGCAACCGAATCTATTTAAAAAGACAACAACACAAACTGCAATGCGACGCAATCACAGCGACGGCAACCTGATGGCCCAGGACGTGAAGGAGGCACGTGTCCGTGTCATTTATACGGGCGGCACCATTGGCATGATGCGCAACGAGCGCAACGGTATTGCAATCATTCAGCTACCCCTCTCATCTCCCATCTCTCCTCCATCATTCTCATCTCTCTTCTTTTCCACCCCCGCCTTTTATAGTGCTTGCGCCGATTCCGAAAGCTTTGGTGCGTCTCATCCGTAAATATCCAAATATCCATGATGAGGAGTATGCACAGCGTCGGTTTGGCGCCGGCGCCTCAATGGCGCCACTGGTGCTGCCATATGTCCAGGGCGAGGAGAGACGCGTCCTCTACCAGGTGACCGAATATGAGCCGCTCCTCGACTCCAGCAACATGACCATGCACGATTGGGCGCGTATTGCCAACGATATACACGTGAGTAGCGACACCAAGATTGCTCCAATAATCTCCAGCGTTGTCAATAGATAAATATGCCATGATCTTCGAATGAAAAAAAACACTAATTTAAATGTCTCGAAGAAAAAGATTAATTTCAAATTAATTATAGAAATGTAAAACTTTTGAGAGAATATTTGGTTTGGAGGATAGATTACAAGGAACCTCCTTCAGCCTTTTCTGAGGCACCCGTTATCAGATGCTCTCTGATTATTACTTATTGTTATCAGAGTATTTCTGCAATGTTCTCACTTGTCTTTTTTCTTTCTATTTACTTTGAACTCTCAATTGCTATTGGAAAAAGCAAGATTTCCTTTTTATATACACGATAGTTTTCAAAATAGTTCATTTTGTTGAAAATGTCGATAATTTGAATAGATTAAAGCTGTCATTCCTCAAGGGCAAGTTGTTGTCCATGTCAGTTAACTATTGAATAACATAATCTTGGCTCATAGGCAGGCTCTCCAGGATTAATCGGATCTGTTCCTTTTGCAGCAATCGTACGAGTTCTTTGATGGCTTCGTGGTGCTCCATGGCACGGATACGTTGTCCTATACGGCATCGGCGCTATCCTTTATGCTGGAGAATCTGGGCAAAACGGTGATCATAACAGGCTCACAGCTGCCCATCTTTGAGACGCGCACGGATGGCAAGGATAACTTTACATCGGCACTGATTATCGCTGGCAACTATGTAATACCCGAGGTGTGCATCTTCTTTGGAAATAAGCTGCTCCGCGGCAATCGCACCGTGAAATTCAGCTCCAATTCGCTGGATGCGTTCAATTCACCAAATGTGCCGCCGCTGGCAAAGATTGGCATCAATGTGAATGTCGACTATCGCCTGATCTTTCGTCCATGCAGCGTGGAGCGTTTCGGTGTCCATTTGCATATGGACGAGAATGTTGGGCTGTTGCGAATCTTTCCCAGCATTTCGCTGGCCACATTTTGTGCATTTCTGGCCCCGCCCATGAAGGGTGTTGTACTCCAATCATTTGGCTCGGGCAACATGCCCTCAAACCGCACAGACCTCATCGATGAGCTGAAGGCGGCCGCCGAGCGCGGTGTCCTCATCATCAATTGCACCCAGTGCCCGAATGGCTCCGTTGCCGAAATCTATCACACGGGCAAAGTCCTCTTCGATGTGGGCGTTATACCCGGCTACGATATGACGCCCGAGGCAGCCCTCACCAAGCTCTCCTATGTGATTGGAAAGACCGACTGGTCGCTGGAAGTCAAGAAGCAGGTGCGTCGATAGCTTTACTTGTTTTGTATTTAATCCAAAATTCAATGCCATTTTCCAGATGATGCAATCGAATCTGAGGGGCGAGCTGACATCGGTAGCAGCGCCCAAGATGGATGACTATGATTTGGTCGATGCTGTTGCCCGCTCGCTGCATCTGTCATCGCCCCAGGAACTGGATCAACTGGGTGCCACACTATTTCCGGCGATGATCAATGCCGCCGTTGCCGAGGGTGACATCAAAAAGATCAACAATCTCAAGGCATACGGTGCCGATTTGTCCGGATCTAATCATGACAATCGCACCGCATTGCATCTGGCCTGCCAGATGGGCGATATGCGGATGGTGCAATTCTTACTCCAGAATGGCGTCTCGGTGCATATACGGGATCGGTATGATCGGACGCCACTGCAGGAGGCTGTGTCTATGGATAGCCATGAGATTATCCAGCTGCTAATCAGTTGTGGCGCCCATTTGACCGGCTCCTCTCGTGCCGTTGGCGAGCAACTATGCGCCGCTGCTTCACGTGGCGCACTGCAGCGCATTCAATCGTATCAGCTGGCGGGGGCGGATCTGTCACAGCCGGATCCATCTGGACGCACCGCGCTGCATGTGGCGGCACTGCATGGCTTTATCGAGCTGGTGCATTATCTACTGCCCTATATGGAGAGTAGCGACACGAAGGATATGCTCGGACTGATGCCCAAGGACTATGCTGCTCGTGGCAACCATCAGGATATTGTCGAATTGCTCAAGACAGCTGTGCCGAATGCCTAATCCGATGGCATTCCATTCTATGTCGCGTCAGCCTACTTAAAGTTGTTCGTTACCAGTGTATGTATCTCTATCCCCTTATCTCCTTATCCCTGCCTCTGATTCATCTGGTCATCGTTGAGCAGTGTTGTCCAGAGGCTACTTGCAACGACTCTTGTTCCTAAGCCCAAAGAAGTGAAATGTTTGAATCGTATTTTAATGCTGGCATTTATGTATTTGATGTTTTTAATGTTTTGCACGAATTCTCATATACACTCGAATTCAAATGGTTTTTAATAAAGAGGTTATATATAAATATATAAGTACGTTAGGCATATTAATATTGCGCAGATCGAGCAATCTGAGTGATGGACATAAACTGTCCGTTATTTTGCAATTGACACTATTACAATTTATATTAACATTTATGAAATTGACTAATGCCAAAATGAATTTTAGTACAATGTATATTATGCAACTACTATTTATGTAATGTTTAAGACAGTAATGGAATAAAACTTAATTAAATCAATTCACGATAATCAACGATTGGAATTTAAATGTTAAACAATCGCACAGTTCCAATTCGATAAAGAATAATTTATCGATTTGGTGTGAACAGCCCTGTTCGATTATAGACAAGGGCAGTAACAACGACTTCGAAGCCCTGGTATTTAAGTTTTTTGTTGTTAGCATTGCTTAATTGTAGTTGGTAAGTGTTCTTTTTTTAAATGAACTCCAATTCAAAACGTGTCCACGAACATGAACATTAAACCAAATTATGCCAAACGAGTTGCCTTTGAAATTAACAGCACCCAAGTGACCAAAACTCAAATAGAGAGACACACACGCACGCACGCATACGCACACACAGAAACACACACACACACACAATGAAGAAGTGCACACGTCAGTGCCACGAAATCTGCTCAAAATTGTAAAGCGAAAGCAGGTTTTCTATGTTGAATTAAAAATTGATATATTGGAACGTTATGTTCTTCTACCATTGCAGTCAATGTCGATAGATAGGAGCACGACGAACCTAACGAAACACACGCGACGACGACATTGGACACATCCATACCGGAGATAGTCCAGTGCTTTCTTTTTGTTTGTTTGTCCCTCCGAGGGATTTTTACTATTATTATTAGTTTTTTTTTTTTTTCATTTAGCTAGTTGAATTTAGTTTGCATTTGAATGTCCGGTATGGCCGAACTGAGCCAATACACGGAGACGGAGGATGCGGATGACAACAGCAGCATCACAGACTTATCCCTAATAATGGTGAGCTAATTTTATCATTTGAAATTTGTTTGTTTCTGTTTCTGATTAGCTAACTCATTCCATTTAGCAGCAGCAGCAGCAACAGGCGATGCGTGGTGGCGTTGGCAAGGGACGCCTGGACAGCCTGCGTGAGAATCTGTCCAAACAACAGGTAAGTGAATGCTGCTTAGAAGCCTCCCGATACTAACTAATATGCATCTGCATATCTGCCTAACCAGGAACGTTTGACGGCGCTGCGTGAGCGTGCTTTGAGAAAATCCGAGGATGCTGGCATTCGACGCATGTCCAGCATGAGTGATTCAATGGAATCACTAAAATCGCTGGGCCCCAAACATACCATGCTCAAGACACACAATAACGCGGCTGAGGAGCAGCTGCTGGAACAGGATTTCTCAACGCCCGCAAGGCACACTGGCGTCGGGGGGCAGTTGGAATTTAGCGGCAGTGAGAAACTGCAAATGCTCAATCAGCGCACCGAGCAGAATCGTGCGCTGCTCGAGCAGCGTAAACGGGACATGGCCAAATCACTACAGTCCGTCAAATCGGGTCTGAGGCAGAGCGTCAGCGGTGAACTGGGCTCCTCAATGAACGATCTGCGTGCGTTGACGCAGCTGACGACGATGACGGCGGCAACGCCAGTTGCTCGACATCATTCGGCTGTTGATCTGGAACATATGCCGGGAAGTACGGATGAGGGACGGCTGAAGCTGCTCAAGAACAAGATGAAGCTCAACGAGATGAAGCAGAGTCGCAAGGAGCAGGAGCTGCAGCAGGAGTTGCACGATATGCGCCAGGAGTTGACGCGTAGCGAGCAACTCGTCCAGCAGCTGGAGAGCACGCTGTCGCAGCAGAGCGAACAGCTGGAGACACTGCGTCCGCTGGCCGAGCAGTTGCGCGAGCGTAACGCCGAGCTGGAGCACAGCAGTGAAATGCTGGAGGCAACTCGACTGGAGCTGCACAGTGCCAGGGAGCAGCTGTTGGAGCAGCAGACCAACAATGCTTCTGTCGCTGCGGCCTCCACGGATGCCCAGGTCAATGTGGAGCTGGCCAAGCAGCTTCAGGAGCTGGAGAATCAGCTGCAAGAGCTGCGTAACAGCAGCGCCGAACAGCAGCCGGTGACACAGCCAAAGGATGAAGTCAGTGAATTGGAGACAACCATTGCCGAGCAGCGGAAGGAGCTGGCGGCGCAAGCCGAACAGCTGGCGGAAAAAACAACCGAGCTAAATGTGCTCAATGTGAATTTGCGTGTGCTCGAGGAGAAGCTGACGCAGAGCGTCAAGAGCAAGCCCATCTTTTCGGATGCCAGCGATTCCATTGGCAGTGAGCAGCTACAAACGGATCTGCAACAGCTCAAACAGAAGCTGGATGAGTGCAACAAGAGCAACATCAAGCTGAAGCTCAAATGCAAGCAGGCGGAGAAGCAGCTACAGAAAATGCAGTCCACGGATGCACAACAGCAGCTGGCGCAATTGAGTGCCGAGAATGAGCAGCTGCAACAGCGCATCACTGTGCTCGAGGATGAGAAGGGTCAGTGGCAATTGGCGCATGTCGAAACAGATGATGTGGAACAGGAGCAGGAGAAGGAGCAGCAACAGCAACAGGTGACTGAGTTGGGCAGCAGCAGCAGCAGTAGCAAACACAAATCCAGTCAAACAGCTGGGCAAACGGAAACCATACGCCTGCTCGAGGAGCAAAAGGAGGAGCTGCAGCAAGCACTGGAGGCACTGCAGCGAGGCAGTGAATCGGCGCGTGTAGTTTCCGAGCTGAGCGAACTGCAGCTGGAGGAGCAGTTGACGCAGCGAGTTCAACAGCTCGAAACGGAGGCGCAGGAGCAGCAACAGCAGCTTAGCACACTGCAATCGGAAAAGGAGGCACTTGACAAGAAGCTGACGCACTACATCAACGAGAACATGGAGCTCCTAGACAAGCTGGAGAAGCTCAGCTCTTCCAGCTCCGCGGAATCCATTGAGATTGTCGAGCGGCCCACAGAGCGCCACTTCAACCAGCGTCCAGCCAGCGAGGGAGATGCTGACACAGAACGGAATGATGCTGCTGTTGCAGATCCTAACACTTCCTCCACTGCCATGGAGCCCGCCATCCAATTGCCCAGTTTTGTGAGTGAGCTGACCCAAACGGATGTCCAGATCAACGAGAGCATCGAGCTGCTCCAAAAGATCGAACTATTCACGAACGAACGGCGCGAAGTGCTGGCCAAAATGGAGCAGCTACAGTCGGAGAATGCGTCGCTTCAGGCGCAACTGGACGAACTGCAGCGGGATAAGCAGCATTTGTCGCTGCAGCTGAGCGAGAAATCGAATCTCTCGCAGGAGCTGAGCTCGATGCAACGCTCCTCCGAGGTGGTCGCCGCCTTGGACGAAGGTGGCGCCCCACTCCTGGACAAATGTGAGCGTTCGCTCTCCAAGCTCAGTTCCGAGTTGGAGGCCTATCGCCAGGCCAACGATCACAATGCCAAACTGAATGTCTCCAAGAAGCTGGCCAAGGAGGCGAAAAATGTGCTCAACCAGCTGACGGAGCTGCTGCACAAGGTGAAGGAGGCCAGCAGTGCTGTGGAAACGGTCACCGTGGTGGAAACAGTTGTCGCTGTCACTGCACCAAATGGCAAAGCACTAGCGGAATACGAGAAGCTAACGGCACAGAATGCGGAGCTGAAATCAGCCCTAGCTGCCCTCGAAGAGGAGCTCAACGAACTCCGTGATAGTTGCGAGCCAGTGGAGCAACCAAAACCCACCCAAGCCATCGAGCAGCGGCAGCAACTAGAGTTGACAGCGCAGCGGGAGCAGGAACGAAAGCAGCTGGAATCAACAATTGCTGAGCTTCATGCGACACAAGCGGCCCAGAAGCAGCTGGAGCGCAATAATACGGAGCTGCGGCAAAAGCAACTCGATGTGGAACAGGCGCACCAGCTCGAACTGGACCAGCTGCAATACCAGCTGGCCGAACAACGTGCCAGCGAGCGAGAGCATCTGCAGCAGATAGCCAGCCAGGGTGCGGAGCTGGCGCAGCTGCAACAGCAAGCGGAGGACTACGATCGGACGCTGAACGACAGCGAAATGGCGCACGAGAAGCACATGGAGCAGCAGCAACGTCAGCGGCACGAGCTGCAATCCCGCATCGCAACCCTCGAGGGGCAGCAGGGCATCCTACAGGCGCTCGTCGCGGAGCAGAAGCAACAGCTCATCGAAAGCTACAGCGAGAGTGAGCATGAATCGAATCTGAAGCTGCTGGAGTTGCAGCAGTGCCGCCAGGATCTGGAGACGAGTGAGACGCGCAACAAGGAGCTGCGCGACAAGCTTAAAAAGTATGCACTGAATCTGAAGAAGCGCGCCGCCGAGCAATCGGAACTAGAGGCTCAGCTGCAAAAGGAGCGCACCAAAGTATTGACACTTGAGGAGCAAGTAAAGTCCACAGGCGCCGAGGATCAGCTGCAGCAGGAGCAGCAAACGGTGATGGAACTGCAGCAGCAATTGCAACAGGAGCAGAATATCCAGCTGGAGTTGCGAGAGCAACTGCAACAGGAGAAACAAATACAGCAGGAGTTGCGACAGCAATTGCAGCAGGATGCCAATGCCTTGCGAGAGCAAGTGGAGCAGGAGAAAAATACACAGCAGGAGTTGCGACAGCAACTGCTGCAGGAAGCGAGAAGTCATGAGGAGCTGCAACAGCAGCTGGCCCAGCAGCAGTCCAAACTCTTGGCCCTGTCCAACGTGAAGGAGGACGTGCAGCGGCTGCAAGTAGATCTCCAGAATACGACGCATGAGAATACGACACTGCACCAGGAGATCAGCGAACTGGAACAGCAGATGGAGAAGCAGACGAACCAGCTGTCTCGCCAGCTGGAGCAGAAGTCACTCAAGTTTGACAAGTCCAAGGAGGTCATCAAGAATCGCAATGCTACCATACAGGGATTGCAGCGTGAACTGGCCGAGCTGCGTGTCCGGCTCCAGGAACAGCCCGAGGAGGTGGCCGAAGCGGAGCAGGCACAGATGCAGACACAGCTGCAGTCACTGCGGCAACAGAACGAACAGCTTACCGCGGAAAAGGTCAACTTTGAGCTGGCCATTGGACGGCTGGAGACGCTACATGAGGGCATTCAGGCCAAGCTGCAGCAGGATCAGTCCTACATCGAATCACTTGAGACGCAGAATGCTGAGCTGCATGCGAAGAGCGCTGCGCTCGAGGATCAGGCGGCCGCTGCCAGTGCCCAGCAGTCGCATAGTCAAGAGCAATTGCAGCTGGTGGAGCAACAGCTACGAGACCAGAGCGCCCAGCAAGCCAAACACGAGGTGGAGCTGCGCGAACGCGTCAAACAGCTGACGGAACGAGAGCAAAGCCAATGTCGACAGCTGCAGCTGTTGGGCAGCGAAGCGGAGGAGGCACGCGAGCAAATGGCAACACTTCAAACGACCCACGAAACGCTGCTGGCGCGCCACAAACAACAGACCCAGCAGGCCCAACAGGCACAGGCGGAACGTGACCAACTGAATAGCAGCAGTGAACAGGAGCTGCACGAGCTGCAGCAACAGCTGCAGCAGCGCAACCAGGAGTTGTTGCGCCAGCGTCAACAGTACGATGCCAAGCTGGCAGCCAAGGCTACCGAACTGGACGAGCTCGAGTGCGATCTAAGCGCGCACATGGAACGGGCGACGGCAGAGACGCGCGATCTCACCCAAAATTTGGAACGGGTCCAGGAGCAGTTGCAGGCACGCAACGAGGAGCTGCAGCGACTCAACGAGGAGCTGATCGATCTGGAGCGCGAACGTTCGACGTTGAGCAGGGAGGCGGTCTTTTTGCGACTACAGCAGGACAGCGCCGAGCAGGATGTGCTCGAGTCGCAGGAGTTGCGCATGCAGGCGCTCCAGGATAAAACCGAAATGGACAATCTGCGCACACAGATCGATTCACTGTGCGCTAATCACAACCAGGAACTGCAGGCACTCCAACAGCAGCTGGCCGAACTGGACACTCTTGGCCAGAATCAAACGGACGATCAGGTCTACATCGAGACGGAGAACAAGCGACTCGCCGAGCAGCTTCACGAAATGCAAACTCGCCTCGATGAACAGGCCGAACAGATTGCTCGACACCAGCAACAACAGCAGCAGCAGCAGCTGCAGCAACAACAGCAGCAACAACAGCAGCAACCACAGCAGCAGCATCAGCAGCTGCAACAACAGCAGCAAACTCAACCGGCAGCAGCTGCGATACACTTCCAAGCACCGGCCCAGGTGCAGCCTCAGCCTGCCGACGATTGGCTGTATTCGTGGTCCCGACCGAACCCCAACATGATGCAATCAAATCAAAGGCAGTCCTTGGAGCAGGTATGTATTCTAATCCGTTTACCGGGCAACAGCATAAAAAGAGCCAACCAGTGTTAAAAGTTTCCTGTCGAAAGGGAAATCAATTAATGCCTTGTCGTCTAACAACACTTGAAGGCAGTTTGAAGTACGCTTAAAAAGCCGTCAATTGATTCAGCGTGTTGTTTATTGTATCCATTAAGATAAGTCAATCCTTGGCAAGTTCCCAAAAATAATCGCTTTTGTTTTGTTTTGTTGCAGAATAATCCTCTGCCTGCGCCGGCGATATTCTTTGGCGGGGATGCAGCAGCGGCGCCATCGCCCTTCGATGAGATTGTTGCCCCGCCGCTTAGGGTGACCACACAGAATATGGGCATGGGCATGGGAAGTGGTATGGGTGACTTAAGCAACGCAGAGTCGACCATTGAGGATCTGCAGCGCAACGTGTCCGATCTGGAGAAGCATGCCAAGGAGCTGGAGACGAAGCTGTTGGCGCGCAATCTGGCGCTGGCCGACCACGAGGAGCAACGTGCTCAGCTGGAGCGGCTGCTCAACGAGCGGGAACAGGAGCTAGCGCAACTGCGCTCCGCTGCCGAAGAGCGGGAACGAGTGGCGGCCATCGAAAAACTCATGCTGCCTCCGGAACAGGAGCAGGTAGTGCCGGAGCCGGTGAAGACGGCCGTGGCTCCCACACTGGACATGTTCTTTGGCGTTGATACGGTGACGGATGGTGCAGCTGCTATGAGCAACCTGGAACTGGGCATGCCACAGACAGAGCCCGTTGTGGAGCCGCTTATCCAACCAAAGAAGGCTTATCTCTGCTATCCCGACGAGCAGGAACAGCAGCAGCAACAGCAGATAGACTGGGGTGTCGACATGGACGAGGATCCTTGGGCATCAGCAGCAGTGCAACAGCAACAGCAGGGCATTAGTCCTTCAGCAGATGCTGTTGCAATGGCAGCCCAGCAGTCCAAGATTGAACAGCTGGAGCGCGAGAAGTCCGAGCTGCACACGAAAACGGCAAAGCTTATGAAACGGCTTAAGGAGTACCGCAGCAAGGAGCAGCAGCATCAACAACAGCAGGAGCAATCTCTGGGTGGCAACAACAACGATCTGGATGGTGCCATCATTGAGGAACTGAAACATCAGCTGGAGTTGCACGAAACGCGTCAAACGAAAACGGAGGAGTTGCTGCAACAACATGCCCTCGAGAAGGAGAAGCTAGCGAAGCGCATCGATGTCCTCACCGCGGGCAATGAACGGATGGCGGAGCTGAAGGAGCGCCAGGATATGGATGTACAGATGTATCAGGCGCGCATACGTGAGCTTCAAGAGAAGCTGCAGCAGCTCGAGAGCTGGGGTGAAGATGGATCAGGAGCCGTACCAGCTGCAACAGCCACAGTAGCAACTATATCTCCAGAGTCCGTGGCCAGAATAGAAAATCTGCAGGCAGAGAATCAGGATTTGAACAGCGAGTGCCAAGAGCTGCAGTCGCAGCTGGAGCTGGAGAAGCAGCAAGTACAGCGGGCACAGGCAGAAGCGGAGCAACTTCATCTACAGTTGAAGGAGTTCAACGTCAAGCAGCTGGAGCTAGAAGAGCTGAAAGCAAAGCAGCTGGAGATGGAGGAACTGAAAGCAAAACAGCTGGAGATGGAGGAACTGAAAGCAAAACAGCTGCAACTGGAGGCAGTAAGAGCTATGCAACTGGAGGAGCTAAAACTCAAGCAACTGGAACTGGAGGAGTTGAAAATCAAGCAATTGGAGCTGGAGAAGTTGAAAGTCAAGGAACTGGAGTTGGAGGAGCTAAAGGCCAAGCAACTGGAGCTGGAGGAGCTAAAAGCCAAGCAGCTAGAGTCAGACCTGAAACCAGCTACGCCCAGTGATGAGAGCCAGGTACTGCTGCAGGAGAAGGAAGCGGAAATAGTGCATCTGAAGCAGCGCATCGAGGAGCTGATGCGCGAGGATCAAACCGAGAAGCTCGTGGTAGAGATACTCACCAAAAACCAGGAGCTTCAAATGCTGCGCATGCAAAACAAGCAACTTCAGGAAGAGCATCAGCAACACCAGCAGGAGTTGGAGAAATTAAATGCCAGTCAAGCAGCCAAGGAAGTGGAGCATCCAGATGCCAAGGTGGAGTTGCAGCGTGAGCTGGAACAGCTGCAACAGCATTTCGCACAGCTGCAGCAGGAGAAATCCGAAATGGAGGAGGAGCTGCGTGTGCTTAACAATCATGTGCTCTCTAGCCTGGAGCTGGAGGACAGAATGAAACAGACCATTCTCGAGCTGGACATGAAAAACATCGAGATAACCGAGCTACGTAAATCGCAGCAGACACAGGTATATGTACAGGCAGAGCCAGTCTCACCAGCACCAGCAGCAGTACCCGATCTCACTGCTCTCAACAAGCAATGGGAGGCGGTTGTGGAGCAGAAATGCAGCGAGGTGGCAGGCATCTGGCAGGAGCATCTTGCCCAGCGTGAGGCGGCCTACGAGGCACAAATCCAGCAGCTGACAGCGAAAGTGGCATCACTAGCATCTACTGTAGCACCTACTGGCCAAGTGGGCGCCACCAGCACCACGACGGATGATGATAATGGCAACGAGATGCTGCTCAAAATGCAAAAGGTATTGGAGGCACAAGAAATGGAAATTGTGACACTTAAAGAACAGCTGGCGATACGTTCAGCGGAATATGCCCGTCTTGCCTCACAATACGATCCCTTCCGGCTGCAGAATACGCTTGGAGCTGTAGCTGCTACTGCCGGTGCCATGTCAACGGGGAGTGCCACCAGCCAGGAGCCGCAGCCAGAGTACGTTCTAAAAGCGGATCTCGACTATGCGCTGATGATGCTCCATCAGCGGGACATGCGGGTCGAGGAGATGATCGTCGAGCTGGTCCAGCTGCTTGAGGAGCGTGATCATCTGCAACTCAAGCTCTCAGACACACTGCGCCAGCTGGAGGCCGAGCGCAGTCGCATCAGCGACGAACGTAAGTAATAATATAATCAATAAATATAAAGTGGAAGCAAGTCGAAATTTCCAAATAATTATCATATTATTATATATATATATATATAAATTATTTTGCAGCAGGCAGTGCGGGGCATGCGACGGGCAGCGCCACTGTCAACGCTACCAGCACCACCAACACCACAGCCACCGGTTCGTCCTCATCGGCCACCTCGGGCAGTCCAAGCAAATTCAGCATTGGCAGCAGCAGCAGCGATCTATCCGCCTCTACAGCTGCCAGTGGCAGTGATCTGAAGCAAAAGTAAGATAATGAAAATCGATATAAAGACAGATACAATAAGTATATATATATATATATATCGTTAATAGATTGGCCGAGCTGCAAACTGTGAAGCATTCCAAGGACAAGGTGATTGTCGATGAGCGCGAGCAGCGTCTGCAGCAGATGATTCAACTGCAAAGGGACATGGCTAAGACATCATCGTCAGGAGCAACGATAGCGATTGCACCAGATGGAGCAGCAGTCGCGCCAGCACCAGCAGCAACAGCAGCGACTCCATCTTATCCGCAGCAGCAACAGCAGCAGCTGGATATGGATCCATGTAGGTGTCAAACAATTCTCCATCATTCTATATAGAACTTATTGCTCAGACTAATTGTTATACAGCACAAACATCGATGCGTTCGCCCCCAATGGTACTTATGGATTGGATATTGGGTAATAACAATAAAACCGAGGACGGTGCTCCTCAGCCACAGCCACCTCAGCCGCAACCGTATTCATCATCGAACAACTAGCACCGAATAAAGTTTCGAACGCGTTGCACCTAGTTTGAATGAAAGCAAGCAAAAAAATCTGGCTTATCCATTTATTTTTGATTTTAAATTTAGCATTAGAGTTCTATATTATGTACCTTGGATGAATGAAAAAAAAAAAAAAAACAAAATGCAAAATCAACCAATGATAAACAAAAAGAAAGTAAGAAAATATTCCCGAATTGTATAGCCGCAGCAATAAATGGGGCACGCCTACGTTTTATGTTGTAGATATGTACAAATTGTAAAAAATTAAACGTTAATAACAACACATTAAAAAAAAAAACAACCAAATCGAAAGTAAATAAAATTTGAAACAACTAATTTGATTATTGACGCATCGATTTTTAGTTATCAATCGATAACTCGGAAAATATCAGCTGGTCAGTGTATACCTATAATTTGAAAAGTAATCGTTGAATTATAACGGTTTGACAGGATATAATTGGTCGTTTATTGATTATTGATTGGCAAATGACGGAAATTGGCTACAGAATAAAGACAACTTGCCGCCTGGCCAACATGCATTCGACGATGACGAACTTTGCCACTGTTGCGCTAATCATTGCCAAATCGGAGCCAAATGTATTTCTCGACAAACTGAGCAACGAGAAGCGTGGCGTGATCAGCTTCACTCTGCGCGACTCCAAGCGGGACATAGCCAATTGCAAGTGCTGGGGCCCCAAAGCCAGTGTGGATGAATATAATGCGATGCTGCAGATTGGCGATGTCATCGATGTTATTGGTGCCAAGGTGATGGCCATTATGCCGCCAAGTTTTGCGGACATCGGTGCACCGCGTTATCAGCCACGTGGCACACTCCCCTTTGCTCTGGTCATCAACGAGGGCCAGGGCTTTCTGATTAAGCATTCCAGCGACGATGTGGCCGTGGTGCAGCCACTGTCCCAGCTATTGCATCAATCCCATAAGCCGACAAGCGCCGCTCTCAAGTTATCGGATGTGCGTTGTGTCGCTCCAGGCGCTGAGCAGCCACCAGCGGTGTACATTGATCTGTTCGTGGCGGTTGCCTCGCTACGTCCGGTGCGTGAACTGAAGCGCAAGGTGGCCCGCAATGGCAATGTCCTGATGCATTGCCTCGAACTGGTTGTCATCGATGACAGCTATCCCGACGGGATGGTGTTAACCCTCTGGCATTTGGATTGGATAAAACGCGCCCAATACTGGCAGCCACGCAAGACCCAGCTGCATCTGATCGATGTACGCATCTCACACTCACGATTCTACGGCTGCCCGGTACTCAGTCATGCCAGCTGCACGCTCATCTATGAGAATCCGCAGCCCCTCAGCGCCGAATCTCAGGCGTTGTCTACCTTTGCAGCCACAGCGCCACTCAAAACCTTTGACATATTCGCCCAAACGGACATGGATAGCCTGCCAGCAGGTGAGTGGATAATTCTAATTTTATGTTCTATAAAAATTGATTTCAACATCAAATCAAATTGTGTTCTTTATGAAAAGCAGCTGATCAGATCCAGACGCAGATGACCGTAAGGCAGATCTATGCTCGTGCCGAGGGCGAATTGAAGGATGCAACCAGCGAGCAATTTACGAGCGTGCTTTATGGCATGGTCACCAAGTTCGATATTGATGGATTTGCTATGTGCATCAGTAAGAAATGGTAGTTAAGTATTTTTGTAAGATATGTTTGTTTATATTAATACTAGTTTCTCCGCCTGATTGCAGCAAAGCGTGCCACAGGCTAATCCCTTACAGCCGCAACGACTGCGACAATGAGCACTGCCTGCTGGAGTTCTCGCTGCACCACAGTGGTGCACGCTTTGAGCACTTCTTCAACATCAATATACAACTGTCCGATCAGACAGGCACACTGCTCGAGGCACGACTTAGTGGCGCTGTGGCGGAACGTTTGCTGGCAATCAAAGCGGATGCTTTTCAGCTACTGCCGGAGCGCAGGAAGACCGATCTCAAATGGCGTTTTCTTTTAAAATACTTTGAGATCAAACTGCTGGTGAGGAAGCCAGCGGCGATGCGTAAATCTCTAGCTGTTATCGTGGTGGACATGGAGCTCATCGAGCTGGGGAGGCTAATAGAAAAAACAGTTGCGTTTTGAATTGTGAGTAGAGAATTACTTGTCTATATATTGTATCCACTATATCCTAGAATAATCAAAAATATATAAAATCTCAAAGAAAATATTTTGAAAATCCATCTCTTATGTAAACTAAATATAAGTATAAATATATTTATAAAATGAAAATAAGTTAAGAAATTGAATAAATCGATAAATGTCTACATAAATAGCATCTTTATTTCGCTTGGGTCTGTTGTTAATATTGTTTACACATAAAACGTTGCAACTGCAATATACATAAATAGTTATCCAATACAATACGATCCGATGTCTTGACTGTCCCGTTTTTGTAATATATATGCTACTATTTGGTTTATCTAAATTACACAGGCGCTTAATCGATTAGTTCGAAATTGAATTACATCCGACTTCTTTTTTTATATAAACAATTACAATTACATTTAGTTTTTTTTTTTTTGTATTTGTTTTTTGTATTTGCTTTTTTTTTTTTGGTGCTGTTTACTTGCTAAGATCACAATATTCGACTCCAGTTAATTACAATGCGGCATCGGCACCAAACATGTCTTTTCATTATTACTTTTTCGTGTATCTTTGCTCTGGCCTTATGTATTTGGTATTTGTTTGGGTTGTGTGTGTGTTTTTCATAATATGGGAATGTGGTCTAAATGGAACAATTTGGTTTAACGCTTAATACTGAGACTACGCCAAGCAATACAAATTTGTGTATAGAATATCATGCTAAAATGCTAAAATATAACAAACATTTTTTTCCCTAAACAACTACAAAAGAAGCCAACAACAAATTAATAAATAGTTAGATAAAAAGGTGTGTGTGTGTGTGTGAGAAGAGTGACAGCTAGAAGAAGTTGAGTTAAGAGTAGATGGTAGTAGGAGAAATTGCTAAAGACACACCATTAAATGGGCTGCAGCTTTGAACAGGGTCAGATATTTGTTAATCCTAAACTCTCAAGGTACTATGAAATTAGTTACACATAAATAAAAAACATACTTTGAAAGCCAGAGCGAGCTGGCAACATTGTTAGATCGAGACAGAGAGCGAGAGAGAGATAGAGAGCAAAATTAACACAATACGAATGCAAAAAATAAATAAATAAACAATAACAACAAAATAAAATAACAACAAAATAAAAAAAGTCAGCATCTACTTGGAGCCCGTGGAGCCATGCGACGACGAGTGCGTTGGATGATGATGCGCATGGAGTAGATGCGAATGCTGCTGCTGTTGCGGTTGATGTTGATGTGACTGCTGTGTAGAGCTTTGATGATACGGCGACTGCTGCGGCGGCAGCTGATGATAATGTTCCTTGGGATGTCCCATTGAACTGCCCGATGCAGACGATGATGATGAGGAACCATGTCCATGTTGATTTGAGCCATGATGGCTATTGTGACTATTATTGTAGTTAAGTGGCAATGCTGCAACGGCAGCCAGTGCGGCTGCCGCCGAGGCAGCTGCCACACCGCCAGCGGTGGCCGTAGTCAATTTATTGGCGCCACCATTGCCGCTGTTCACCTTCAGCTGTCGTATTTCGGGAAAGAACTCAATCATCAAGATCTCAAGCAGCTCCTGCAAATTTTACAAAATCAATAAGGTATTTCATATGATTTGTATACAAATCAGAAAGAGACCGAGCAACTCACATAGAATAGCTGTTTGTTGTATGCGGGATTCTGTAGTGCATCGAAGACCTTGAGTACGCCACGTTTGGCCGCCTGGGCACCAACCAGATTGCAGAGCACCTCGGGTATATGATCTGTAAGCAGGGCTTTGGCCGCATTGGTGGTCATCTCTTTCATATCATCCGATCGCACTGGATAGGCCGAGGCGAGAACACCACCTGGCCAAAACGATTTCAATATGGCCGAGAAATAGTTGTGCAGCATAGATTCCTCGAACAGAAAGGCGATAGATTCACGTATCTGCCGATTTATGGTGCGTCCATATGTGATCTGCACGAACGAGATGATACTCTTGCGCAGCCACTTAAAGACGCCGCCCATGTCAAAAACCTCGCCCATTAGTGCATACATGGGCTCAGCAATTGAGTCCTTGCTGTCAATATCCGCCAGCAATTTAGCATCGCTGCTCGTCTCGCCATCCAGGTAGGTGGACATATCGTCATCATCACGCTGCAGTCCCCAGAATGGATCGCTCGCCTTGCTCGACTCGTGTGCCTTAGTAGCGTCGCTCTTGAAAAGCGTCGAGAGAGAGAATTTCGATTTCTTGGGCGAGGGCAGTGTCTGCTTCAAATGATCCGAGCTGGGACTGAGAAATGTGTAGATCGCCTCGCTGCCATTTAAATGATCATCCTCCAGTATAAACTGTATGCGACAATTTGGTTTATAGACAGGGATTAACAGGCATTGCACAGAAAACAGATACATACATTTAGAAACTTTTGTATTTGCCCCTTGGCCTTCTCCTGCGCATGACGATCTGTCTTCAAAAAGAAGAACTTGAAATTTGTTGGCAAATCCAGCGATTTCAAATTGGAGCAGACGTGCCGGAGTTTACGTTGCAGCTCCTGAAATATATAAACAAGCAAGGCATCAGTATCGATCTGTAAGTTGTTATCAGCCAAATTTACATGAACTTGGTTTAGGGAACGCATGACCACCCAGCCACTGGAGATGCCCGACGGACGACGCCTCTGCGCTCGGCCAGTGTTGCTGTCTCCATTCTTGTGAGCTGACTGCGCCGGCGCATTAATATCCTCGTCGACATGCACCAGGATCATGAACTGCAATGACTCCTTTTCATCGGACACCTGAAATGAAACAACAAAAACAGTTAATTGAGGCACGTAATTCAAGATATTTAAAAGATGCATTTGAAATAGCAGTATTATTATTATTAATATTATTATCATTATATAAGCTAAACACTCACCTCGACACTTTGTATGGTGGCCTTCCACTTGCCCAGATGCTCGGTCCAAGCATCTGTGCGTCGCAAATGAGCCTCCGTTTGTCTTTTCTCGCTCTTGAGCCACTCCATTTCCTTCTCGAGAATCTGCAGCACTTTTGACTCTGGCTTCACCGAGTATTTAAGTGCGTCGAGTGCCTGATTCTTCTTGTCGATGCGCTCCTGTATCTGCTCCAGTTTCTTGCGTGCATACGATGTGTGAGCGGCGACATCGATGGCAGCGGGTGCACCGCTGGTGCCATTCAGGCCATCCGCGACAAAGGCTTGCTCGTCGTCGGCCACATCGCCCAGCAATGTGGGGCACGTCAGCAAGGTGGGATCGTTAAATTCGTTAGAGTCGAGCGCCTCCTTTAGTTGGCGATACTGTTCGCTCTGAACGAACGGTGGATAGTATTTGTCCTCCAGGGTACGCAAAATGTTGCGTTGTATATCATAAAATATATCTGGACCCGCATCGCCCAGCACAAAGGTCTCGATCAGTTTGCGTTCGTGCTTATCGATTTGTATCTCTGGCTTGGGCACACGTATGTACGTGTAAAAGATCTCCGTACCCAGCTGATGTGTGGCGGATTTGTGAGAATGCTTCATCTCATCCACGGCCAGGTAGAAACCAACCAGGGCGCTGGCCTTTAGCGGCTCCAAGAACAGCGTAAAAAAGCGCCTTCCCACAGCCGTATTGAGTATCTCCACCAGAGTTAAGTCCTGCATTAGTGAAGATTTAATTTGATTCTAATTTCATAGTTTAAAACCAAAACAAAACAAATCAAAAACTTACTGTATCGCTCGAGTAGTTGCCGTTCCAGCCAAACTTGGCCAGATTCTTTTCGCACTGGCCCTTGGCCAATGAGAGTTGGTGCACGTAACGCTTTAGCCGCACAGCGGCCGTCAGCTCTGACTTGGTCAGCGTATGATCCTCGGTATCCGGATCGAGGCCTTTGGCACGTTGCAAATTCTGCATGCTGGTAGCATGCATCAGATCATTGACAATACTTTTTCGTATCAGCGACAGCTCCTCCAGATTCCCCGAATTATTGATGATCTTTAGGAATTCCTCAAAGCTTGCAGCGTACTCGTAGCTCCGTTTACTTATCGCTGCTGCCGCGAGACGCGTCTCAATGTTCTGCACAACCTTCTGATTGATATAGTCTGGTGCGGTCACCATTTTAATCATTGGAAAGAATACTAAAAAAAGACCAACAGATTTTAAGCCAAAATTCAACCTGAGACTTTGAATTGGAACTTACTCTTAAAAGAGAGAATCTCACTAAGCAGCACCTTGAGTGGGGGCAGTGAGTAACCGCGCGGCAGCAGCAATATGACCATAATCTCGCACAGCTTACGCAAAAACTCCATTTCCTTCTCCTCATCGGCCAGGTACGAATTGGTGCTAAACACCGGAGCGCTATTCGTGTCCGCACTGCACAACAGCAAGAAACAAGAAGAAGTTAGGAAAAGGTCGATTTGCTTGCAGCAAAAACGAACTTACACACGCGCCTCGGCAATGCGTATTTTTTCCAGATGCACTGTGACGCGATTGACCATATCGACTGCGATGATCTTGGCTGGATCCATTTTGGCGGCACGTTCGTGTATCTTCTGAATGGCATTCCACAGATCCTCGCGTATAACATCGTTAATAAGCTTTGGCTTCGTAACGACATAGCTGTGAATTAAATTAAAATTTCGAGTTTAGAATCGGTTTAAGAGAAAGAGAGAGAGAGGCTTTAGTTAATACCTACCCCAGCCAGGGCACCATAAAGTCACGCAGCACATATTCAATGATCTGTTGTAGCTGCAGGTCGACTGTTTTGCCAAAGATTAAAGGTAAATTCGATGGATTCTTGATGGGATTTGGCAAATCAAATATGTTGCATCTGTAAATATAACAGTTACCATGAGAATTCTTTGGGTGAGGGTTGGGGGGATTTAATGGAATTGTCATCATTACTTACTTGGTGGCATTGTAGAGCAACTTGGAGGGCAGTCGATTGGGCCTTGGGGGCTCATTGGTCGTAAATATGTAATGAACATAAACGGTGCCAGCGACAGCTGTTGATTTACCCAAAGGGTTAACAATTAAAAGGAACGACGATTCAAGATAATTTTTTAATTAAAAACAGAAAAAAAATAGATATATATATATATAAATAAATATATATATATATATATTTATTTTTACATATATATATGTGTATAATATATATAGATGTGTATGTATTTACATATTATATATCATATGGAAATTTTTGCTGATTAGAAATGAGTCACGGGTTAGATTACGAATGGATTTGCTTACTGTAACTGGCACAACAGATAAGTGTATCGAGTTCTCGGCACGAGTTTTACCTGCAAAGACCAGCACCAGGGAATAGATGACGAATGCGAAGAACAAGAAGAACGTTGGATAATACCAAATAACGGCCAATAGCGTCAATGTAATGCCCGAAATGATAATCTTCCAGTTTAATTGCAGGGCACGTAGCAAACTAAAAATAAAAATAAAAAATCATATTAATGAATTAAATTGATGAGCGCAAAGAGTGGGCAGGCAGGCAGACAGACAGGCCGGTAGGCAGCCCGGCACGCAGGCAGGCAGGAAGCACTACGGAATCTATTAATAATAATAATGACAACCCACCGCCGTCAAGCACTCCCGCCACCCCCCACCCCATATTTACAGCCCCATTTAATGGTCGTCGCTCATTAAGCATTCACTCTTGACCCATACATATGCATGTATGTACGCCTGCTGGCTTGCTTGCATATATGCGTATGTACATACGTATATATGTATAAATGCAAAGGATACACACACGCATTTGAAAAAAGTTTGAAATGCAGCGTTTCCACTTACCGCGTTGCGAGCTGCGTCAGGCGCTGTGTGGGCGTTGTTGGTGGCTCAGGTTCAATGGGAAACAGTGGGCGGCGTCGCTCCATGGCGGCCAGCTGAGTCACAATAACCTGCCTGTGTCTTACTATTACCAGTTACTCGTGTTGTTGTTGTTGTTTTTGTCTCCAAATATTGTTTGTTGTTGCTGCTGTTGTTGTCGATTGCTGTGATTTTTCCTGGTATTTAAATATTTGATGCGTTTTGTACATTTTGTGACAACGTCGGTCGTTAACCGTCTCAGCTTAATTTGTAGCTCTTGTTGTGGCTTTTGCCATCCCTTGCCACTCGATGCACATACGTATATTAAAAATAGTTCTCTATAACCACTTCCGCCACCCCTCCACGACCAACGAACTATGCACGCCTACTGCGCCCTTGCCATCAATTGTCCGAGCAGTGACGTCTTCTTTTAGCACTGGTCTTCAATCTTACGTTCGGGGAGCAATTAAAAATATGCACACAGCATCCGCAGAGTCGACGTTTATCGCAACAAGTTGATATTGATAACTGCAGAAGGGGCGGCGCGCCTCACGACGATAAGTGATAAGAGCGGCGCAGCGGCTGCGGCGAATGATGTCTGCAGTTCGGTGTCCTTCAAATCGTTGACTGCTGTTGTTATTTTTTTTCTTCTTGTGACTTATGTTGTTGGTGCCACTGCTGCGTAGATTTTAACAAGTTGGAATTGGAATTGTGGTGCTTGTTAAGCGGCTTTGTTGTAATTATTCATCGAACGGCTATGTCACTTCCACTTTCAATCAAAATCACAAATACAATAAAGCAAAATCAAAATTCTCACTTGTGTTGGATTTGTTGATATTATATCGATAACGATAATAACATTTCGAAAACCGAGTACGTAGCTCGTTAATGCGTTAAATCGACAAACCGCCACACATACTATCGATGGTTTTTCAATAGGTAAACAAAAGCGCCAACCGTTAAGTTCAATCAGTTTCCAATTTATTGCAGTTGCATAACAATACTTAAATGAATTTTAAAATATTAACTGATTAATATTTTTTTTTGATATTACAAGTTTTGTGTATTTTTTTGTTCTTTATTTAATGTGTAAATGAGTGGTGGCACACCTAATAGGTATTGATAAGCATTTTCGTGTGCCACCACCGAGTGCGTCGCGTGTCGTTTCGTTAGGCATTTCATTTCCCCCCTTTCCCAATTCCTCTTCATAAGAACGTCGAACAGACTCTAAATGGCATCGACAAATTGCAAATTTTTTGACATTGTCATTATTGTTCCTTTTCTAGGCGCCGACGAGCACGCTTGCGTGTAGCTGAAATATTCTTAAGAACCTCGTTTCTGGCAAACTGCTCACCGAAAACAGCCTCTGTAAAATGTATGACCAGTTGAAGCAATGCATGTGGTAAATATCCAGCTGTTTGTGTGGCAAAGCCGAGTGTCGCCAATGCGGATTTCACATACGTTTCGGGCGATGGTGCAAACCAACTCGGCTTACGTATCTTGGACATGTTGGTGGCGACAAAACCAGGCTGCACACTCTGTATAAGTATGCCATACGCCTTGTACTCGGTGTACAGATCATCGCTGAATTTATTCACAAATGCCTGGAGAAACACAAAAATAACAGTCCAAATAAATAAACTACAAATTAGAGGACTCAATGTGCTCACCTTTGTACCGCTGTAGACGCTCAGTAAGGGATTGGGGATTACCCCGGAAGTCGAGGATAAATTTATAATGACACCCTTACGCTTTGTCACCATGCCTGGCATGAAGAGCGCTGTCATGTGCGTCACGGAATGTATATTAGCGGCAACAAGATTGTGCAGAAACTTGGGATCGGCTTCGTACAAATCCAAAAAGTATTCCGGATGATTGTAGCTAATGCCCACATTGTTGACCAGTACACCCACATCTAGACCAGTTGTTCCTTCACGTATCTTCTTATAGATGTCCAAGCCACCCGTAAAGTCCACATCGATGACTCGCGTCTCGACCCCGAATTCATCGCCTGTAAGTATGCCGTGATTTAGAACTATAAGCCTGGCTCAAACACTAAGCCATATTCAGCCCATACCAATTTCCTTAGCCACAGTATTGAGTTTCTCCAACGAGCGACTAATCAACACCAGTTTCATTCCTTTGCGTGCCAACTGCAAATTGCACGACAAATAATAAAGTTATTTATAAATATATAATATTTACATACATTAAGCTTAATCTACTGATCATATCACACTAAATCACAGTTCTACAAGAGAATGTCGAACTCCTTATACGCAAATACATAAGGCAAGATGTTCTTAAATGTGCTTAATAACTATGTTTATTGTATTATTATAAGCTGTGTAAGCAGTTCTTATAATAAGTGTATTACAGATCCCTTGTACAGTGGTCACTCGAAATCTAGAACGCTACTAATTAAATGCCGAAACTAGACTTCTGGTGACTTCCGTATCCGTCGAGCATTTTAAAGTTCAACATTTGAGCTTTCTCGTTACGATTAAAACGCATTCTTTAAATTAGCAATCCACGCTTGAATGATAAACATACACAGCACATTTGAATGCTAATTACATGCGTCGGGTGCAGCCCAGAAGCGTGTGTGCTTGGATTGTTTATAAATTAGAGGGCAACTTGGGTAGTTAAAAGTCAAAGTGTCTTGTTTATATTCAATAATGCAATTTGGTAAACAAATGATGTTGCGACACGTATTGCTAACTGGACGTTAGCACTTTGAAACTCATATGGGAAATTGCTATGTCAACATTTCTAGGGTTTATGTAATGTAAGCATTTCCAAGTATTGGCTAAATAAATAAAAGCTGCTTATGGATTACTTGCACTTTAAAATTTTGTTTTGTTTTGTTTGTTTTTTTTTTTTAGTGTCAACCCCTTAATGAATAATTAGCAGTTAATGAATTACAACTAAGTGCATTAGCGTATAATATAAATATTGAAGAATACAATGTTCAAGTCATGATCTAATGTCTAACCCAATGACAATTCCTTAGCTGCATTTTTTGAGCTGAGTTTGTTTTTTCTGGACAACACCGATACATATTGCAGTCACCATGGACTTTGCAATGCAACACAGATTCTAGCTGAAGTTCTAGGGGCAAATCCGCACCAGCAATGCCCTCTCCTACAATCAATACAGTCAAAATATCTTGGCTTACAATTGGTTTAGTAAATCAATTTCAAAATTGTGATAAAATTTCAACTAAAGTCACATTATTTCATTGGCTTTAAGTTGATACTTGTTCGGTAATTTTTCACATCTAAATCAAAAGTAATTTTAGAACTATACTAATTGCAATATAAACCAACATTTTCAGATTGTAAAGTGAATAGAACCAAGACCTTCTTCAGATGAAAAGAAGGAGAAATATTTTTCGCGTATGACTCATAAGGCTCGAGTTCGTTGATTTATCCATTGATCCATTTGTGTGTACATACCTCCCTTGCATAAGCCTTTCCAATGCCATCCGTGGAGCCGGTAATAACTATAAAATATGTACAACAAAAATTGGTAGCAATTATCAAACCGTATAAAGCTAAAACTTGAGCAATGGACGCCTTATCAGGGTTCCAATCAGGCGGACGTCGTCATTATCTTGTACAAAGTTCAAATGCCAAACGTAATTGAGACTTACCTGCCCACTCGCCCATCTTCGAAAGATTCACCGAGGAGCCAAACAGCTTTGGCCCGAGCACATTCACATAGATCCAGGGCAGGACCTTGCGACAGATCTGAAAGCCTACAATGCCCATGGCAATGCTGCCTAATATGTTCAAAGTACGCGAATATTCCTCCATCTCACAAAAGTCGTATGTAATTCCGAAAAATGCAAAGAACAATCGCAGCGCTGTTGTGTGCTGTTGTGGGCTAGTGTCTCGACTCTACGGACTCCGTTTGGGGTCGCTGTTCGACGTGCTGCTGCTGCTGCTGCCTCTGCTGTGTTCCGCTGCCGGCGTTGCTTTTGTCGCTGTATTGGTTCCGAAGTGCTGCCCTCTCTCTCCGGCTGAGATTGTCAATTGAATTTTGTTTTTTTTTTGTTGTTTTATAAATTCACTGAATGTCTGGAAATATGCGGGGTATGTTGTCGGCTGTTTCTGTTTAATATTCAAAGCAGAAGAGCGCGCGAGTTCGACAATTCTGCTGTTATGCATATAAAGAGCGATGAATTTCCTTTTGGTATAAGCTTATTATGGTTTAGTTTCTCTTCTATTTCTTTGCCGAAAAGTCAATATTAGTATTTGGAAGAAATACAATTATTATGTGTATGAAATGTCACCGCTGAGACAGAATATGAATTGAACAGTTTTTTTTTTATTTTCCGACTGAGCATATTTTGGGTCGGTCTGTGTGTGTGTGTGTGTACGCGTGTGTTTCTAGCGTCGCGCCACTTATGCATTTACCCTTGTGTGTGTGTGTGTTGTGTGCTCGGCTGACGGAGTCGTGCTCTCACGATTTTGAGCAGGCATATCGCACCACCGCCAATAAGCGATAACGGGGCACACATGTGCTTGGTCAGGCACAGACACACACACACATACACATTTACTTACTCTCACTGAAAATTGCACATGCGCAGAAAGTAGACACTAAAACCCGATGACGATAATTTCAGGCGCTCAACGGCAATTTTGATTTTCTGCTTGGACTCGCATTTAATATTCAATTATTGTTATTTAGTGCATTTGGAAGTTTTGCTCCATAACCGAAATGCACACTAGATGGCGCGCCACAATCAGAAATAAGTGTGGCATACTTTTAAGCTGTCGACAAATGTATCTTATTATTATTTATGCATGAGGAATTTGAAAATTAGGACAATACTATGCAGATGGCGCCATAGCAACCCCAATGACTTATGCATTGGACCAGCATCCTTCTGTTCACCTCCATACAGATGAAAGAGAATAAAGGAGAGAGAGAGAGAGAGCGAGAGGAAACAATTGCAGGACCGCTTAATTGGCAAATGGAATGCGAGTCCTTTCTCCGGCAGTCTCGAGCCAATTGCGTGTGAACCAACAACGTTGTCCTGACCGGCAAATGCAAAATGGGCATAAATATCATGATATTATTAAAAGTGAGCAACTCTGTTGAGTTTTAGAGGCGCACAAAAAAAATGTATACGCAACGTTTTTTGTTGTTGTGGTTATAATTATCATAGTTTGCACAATTAATACAAAGTTAGGTAAATCGGTTCAAATGGGAATATAAATAAAACAAGTGGTTCGCTTATATAGTTAATATAATTCAAATTTGATAACAAAAATACAAAAAGTTGGCATAAATACAATCCAATCCAAATACTTGTTTCCCACAGTTAAAGTGCCATAAACAAGCAATCCAATAAAACGTTTCCTATCAAAATCTTGAGAGCCCATTAAAATCTGCTGTGTTCCATGATAGGCCAACAAAAGAGCTGTCGAGCGTTCGTTTATTGTTGAGTGTTTTGGCATGCGCACATCCTATCCTGACCTACATTTCAATTATTGGTCATCTAAGCAGCATCGCCATCCAAGCTAGAAAAAAAAAATATATACAAATAAATAAATAAAATAAAGAGCAATTGAAATGAAAATACAACGAAGATACAATACACACACACACACACACACACACACTCACACACACATACACACAAACTACGCATCACATTCGTACATAGTACATATAAACTGAGAAAGCTAATAAACGTTTTCTTGTCTTGCACAGTGAAATCAGTGTTATCAATCAATCGGGGAATGCACGCAGAAACAGTTCAAATGCAAGAATAAAAGCAAGCAAGCCATGCATGTCCCTCCCACAAATTGCAATATGGTGAAAATCAGCAGCCAATTATAAGGGATACCCAAGGAAAATTGAGGAAAATTTAAATAAAACAAAGCAATTCGAGAGAAGCAACTCAGTGCCAACAAGAAAAATGTTGCTAATTAGATAAAAGAAGAAGAAGAAGAAAACGAAGAAGAAGAAGAAGAAGAGAAGAAAAGGACATCAATTATATTGGATTGAAAGTAAATTTACATATGCTGCGGTGAGTTTTTCACTTGGCTTACTGTGCAGTTCATACGAATAGGTATGACACTTGGTAAATACATATTGTGTATATATATTTGAATTGTTTGTTGCAGTGATGAAATCTAGATTGTTTTGGATATTTGCAATTATATATTCATCGCTACATCATATAGGTTCCGGATCCACCTCGACGACCTGTAAGTGTTCAAATATTTTAAATATTACCAACTTATATCGCTGTATACCTGCCCTTCTCCTCCTACTACCTACCCTACCCCTCTGTCTCTTCATCCATCTGTTCCAATTGTTATGGCTCTTGTGCCCTCCCTCTCGATGAAACTTAAAGTATATATTCGCCTTTTTAGAGTAAAAAATTGAAATACAAATTATTCCAGCTGCGAACAAATTTTTAGCTGTTAGCAGACTAACTTCGATCTACAATGGTATTTAATCTTCGGATAAGATAACCACTCTTTCTAGATTTTCGTTGGTCCACAGATGAATAACTTCTTTTCCGACCAAACTCATCAGTTACAAGTTTAATTATTATTCGAACATATCAATTTTTAACTACTATATTATATAGCTTCAATCGAATCAGTGGTTTGCGTACCAAGATAGACATAGATTTTGCCTCATAATATGTATAATTGGTCAATTGCAGTGAAACGTCCCCGAGCTGGAGATCCATTTGATACGTTTCCGAAAAACTTCTGGCAAGAGTTCTCATCGCCGTTTACTGACACGCCCGAAGATGAGGAGCTGGAGGTTACCGAGACGACAACGCACGAACCGTTTCCGTTCTTCGCCGATCCCTACACGACAATTAATGTAAGCACCCAGCTGTCATCTAATGTCTATCTGCACTGTCGGGTCAATGATCTGCAAGGGAAGACGGTCTCTTGGATGCGACGCAAGGGTGATGATCTGACCCTAATCACCTTCGGTCAGCATACATACAGCGGAGACTCGCGATACTCGTTGGAGTTCGATGAGCCAAACGATTGGAAGCTCTCGATTCAATATGCCAATGAACGGGATGAGGGACCCTATGAGTGTCAAGTATCATCGCATCCACCACTGGTACTCTTGGTATACCTAACTATAATTGGTAAGTGAATCGAGAACCTTTATCATCATGTACATCATGTGCTCCACAGTTCCTCATGTGGAAATTCTCGATGAGCGAGGATCGGCCACACCGGAAAAATACTACAAAGCTGGCAGCACCATCGAGTTGCAGTGCGTCATCTCAAAGATTCCACATCCATCGTCATATATCACCTGGCGTCATGGCGTTCGATTGCTCAACTACGACACTAGTCGTGGGGGCATCAGGTATCTATTAGTATACCTATAGATACTTATCTCAGTGACTATACGAATTCATTATATTTCTATATTGCATAGCGTTAAAACAGACATGCTGCCAGGCCGGGCCTTAAGTCGTCTCTATATAGCCAATGCGAATCGTCAGGATACCGGCAACTATACTTGCATGCTAGGAAATGAGATAACAGAAACGGTAGTGGTGCATGTGCTTAACGGTAAGTGCAACGACAACCCAATTTCCAGGTTCCTGTTTAAATAAATTAGCAATCTACTTGACAACTGACATGTACAAAAAATTGCAGAAATCTAAACTAACTTTGGATAAAGCTGTTTTGGGATAAGTCAAATATGATATTGATTATTTAAAGGCATCCATTAAAGCAATTTTGATAGCAACCTTGTGTGTGAAATTCTTAAATGTAAATATTATTTGATATCTATGTGTATTTCAGGTGAAGAGCCAGCTGCAATGCAACATGCGAATGGGACTCGATTTATATCCAGCCCTCTAACAATGGTTGTGTTTTTTATAGTATTTGCGATAGTTAAACCCTTTCAGCGATGACAACATTGCGAATGACCCAAAACAAAATTGGAAATGCTATCAAAATAACTTTAATATACTTAGAAAACGAAGCATAAGAAGAATAAGAAGTATTATGGGAAAATGCATAAGCCAAAATATATAATCTTGTCCAGGATTGCATTTTCAACTTTTACTCTAATCATGGGTTGTTTAAAAATACATAGCATAACTGAATACTAATTGTAAGTTTAAATGAAACATGTAACAAAACAAAAAAACAAACAAACAAAAAGAAAACGACAGAGTAGAAGGAAAAATCGTATATAAGGGCGTACGTGAAAATTTAAGAAATTGATTTTGCAATTGAAAATTAAAATGAAAATGAATGTGAATACTTCAACTTTAATCGTACTACAAAAGGCCGTGTTTTTGTTGGCTAAAGTACAATTACCCTTCCCCGCTCCCCCACTTTCATACCTCACACACACATACATCCATACACACACACATAGTTATTTTATAATTTCTGATATCACCTTCCGAATTAGAAAAAAAGAATAGCCATTATATGTGTACATAATATTTGATGTTGATATGATGGCTGTAGCTTCTTGAAATCAAACGGCATATCAGTTGGGATCATTAGACCATTCTTGGATAACATTTTGCAACTAGTTTTAAACATAGTACATAAAAAATGAAAGAAACTTCCCCTTTCCCCGCAATTGTTTTCCGCAGTTCCATAATCAGCTCCTTGCTAACGAAAAATCGGATATGATATAATATTTATTGATCTTCTACAGAGTTAGTTAAAGCGTTGAGTTTTTGGTTCTATCACAGTTAATGTTTTCTAGATATATTCCAACTACCAAAATAAATACCCAGTACTTACGTAGACGTTAGGTGAATGTAGTGCACAAAAACCCAAATACCCTGATATTTACAAAAGAATACTGTGCCATTCAAAATGGATACATATCTTTTAATTTAATGTGTACAATTAGACAAATTGTTCTTAATTACATACTTAGGTTGCGGAACCAAATGACCATCGTATCTTGTATGTACAGACTTATGTAGTGTATTTCTTTTTGGAAACCTAAACCGAAATCTGAAATCCGAATATCGAGTGTACAACCAAACGGACCAAATGGGTTAAAGATGAAATGTGCTTCCTTTTTTTTTTTTTTTTTTTTTTTGTTGTCCCTTTCCAGTTTCCCCCAACACACGCAGAAACACGAACAAACACACAATTGTTAACTTTCTTTGATTGTGGCATGATACATGATTGGTATTCACATAGAATAGGTTTATATTAAACATTTATACTATGCTTGATCGCTTTATTACTCTCGCTTGCATCATTCTTATTATTATTATTATTATCATTATTATTATTATTATAATTGTTATTATTAAATATGTACCTAAGTAATATCGGTCTATTAGAGCAACTATTTCGGATATCTAAACACAACTGCTAGCGGCAGTTTTTTTTTATTTTCCACTCCCATATTTGGTATATTCTAAAAAAAAAAAAAACCAAAAAAAAAACGAGAAAAATCGAAAAATTAAAGCTCAGCTTAAAACTACATACAATTAATTGATAAGAACTTAAAACTTAAACAAACTTGGCTAATTTCGAATGGTCCACAGTAGTTATTGTAAATTATTCAATTGATCCCAACCAGCCTGCTGGTCTGGTTGGTTTATTATGGTGTATGCCCTTAAATACAAAAACAAATGTTGGAGTGAGATAACGAAACAATACTTAGAGACTAATGAAAGTGACGAAACTTTTAGAAGCATTTTGGTTACAGTAAAATATTTAAGAATTATTGCAAAATTGATATTATAAATAACAACATAAATATTTATGTATGCGGCTAATGTCAATGTCAAATGCCGTCATTAATATAATAATAAACCATTGTATAAAAATAAAATACAAACAAGACCACAAACCCACATCTACACACTCATACACACAAATACACACACATTTCTTTTTTCTATTAAAAAAGAAAATTTAAAATCCAATAAAATTGTTTTCATTTTGGAAAAAATAGTAAATACAATGATCATGAAATGAAGCCAAACTATTAAGCGATCAAGAGGCAAACGCCTTTCAGTGGCCCTCAAATCGAAGCAGAATGCGTTGAACAATCCCCCAATCAAAAGCTCCACCACGATGCGTTGAAGTGAACGAAATTTAGAGTAACTACGACCACTTCGCTGACCTTTACCACATTGTTATTGTGCACATCAGGCACTTTTCCTTTGATATTTTGTAATATCAGCTGCTCCCGAGTTGATTTCGTTGGAGTGCGTGTGGCGACAGCCGACAATCTTAAGGTGAGCGTGGCCTGTATTTTGGTGAACAGCGTCCATCGGAAAGGTTCTGTCCACATTTAATAAATTTTTTGAAGCGTCGCGCTGCCACATGCGGAAATATCTCACTTTACAAGTTGCAGGTGGCAGCTTGATCTTAGGCACACAACTTCTATTCACACATAAATGCATTAATATCAATTGAATACTTACTTTGCAAAGTCTTATCCATGCTAGCGCGTGAACCTTCCAATATCGGCAACGCAATATTTTTTAAAACTCATTTAAAAATGCGCGCCAACATATCGAAGGGTTGCATCGATGTTAAAAGAAACATATCGATTTTGAAGAAAACCATCGATGTTTGAAATAAGTGGAAAAGAATTGATGCGTGTGTGTTGCTCGAATTCAATTGTTGATAAAATTTTGGCTGTTTTTGTTTTTAACTTGTGTTTGTGGCTGATGCGCATCGCCATTGAAGCGGCATTTTATTGATTGCATATGGCAAACTGGCGCTTGGCACGCGACGCCGGCCTCCAACCCAAGGACAATAGCGACCCCTACATAGGCAGACGACATTAACGTGTTTGTTTTGTTATGTTTTGTTTAGCTTTGTAATTCAAGACCAAAACTAAAACCGCTCAAATTGTGTTTGTTTTGGATAGCTCGGCCATTCACTCAGTGCCGTCGATTTGTGGCAGCTGCGTTTTTACGTGTGACGACAAACTAAGGGAGCATTAGCATAATAAGCCCCTTTAATTAATTATCTGAATTAAATAACAATAAAATAATGTCGAATACAACTGAGCGCTGCGAAACCGATCGCATATCCAACATAGAGCTGCAATCGAATAAACGCATGCTTTACTTCAGCGATGGCGTCATGGAGGAACTCTCATCCAGCGATAGCGATATGGAGGCGGACGTGCCTGATAAGGGCTACGATGTCCAGCTTGAGGTTTGTCACATATTCCACATGACACACTTCTGAATCAGAACCGTCTTAATACGTTTGTGACTCATTTCATTTGCAGCGCGAATTGCCTCTTGTGCCACGCCTACGTTACAAGGCCAGCAAGGTGGGCAACAACATACTGGCCGGCATTGACTATGTGGGCGGTGGGCTGGCCTCCTTTCTCGGCATCTCAGGCTCCAAATATGCCAGCGAACTGAAATATCATCAGCGGGAGAGGGAACAGAAGGAATCCGACGCTGCCGCCACCGACGAGGACCCTGACAACAATTGGCAATCGCAAGCAACTAACAACAACAGCAGTAGGGGCAACAATCGTCACAACAATAGGATTGTCGTTTGTGAGCCCGTTCGCAGTAACGGCTACGTGGAAGCGCAACCACAGCCATCGTTGCCACCTAGTCGACAATAAAAATTAAATGTTCGATGACCTCGCCAGTAATAAAACAAGCAATGATAAAAACAACCTTGAAGGATATTGCCATGAAAATGCTCATCCGGTGAAATCGTAAAAATTGTGTGTAAGCTCTGTACATAATCAATATGTATAATAAGTAAGAACTTCAATCATTTTCGACACTTTATTCGCTATAAATAAGTTACAAAATACAAAATACATATTTATAAACAATTTAAACACATTGTTTCATTAGACAAAAAAAAAATGGAGCCACAATTAAATTTGGCCAAATATACATATATTATAAATAATATATAGATAGTGTAAATACACATACATTGTTCGCTGAAAGTAGTATTTCCAAAACATAAACCAATGATTTTACTATTCAATTTACAATTTTGTTGTTTGTTGCATTTTCAATGGGTCTCATTTAAGAAATATATATTATACAATTTTTTTAATTTATGTTGAAAGTTCATATTTCCCAGCGAGCCGTTGTATTGGTATATAATTTTTTTAATTAGCTCGGTGTAAAAACGTGTTCAAAAATATATTTAACCAATAAGTTTAGGCCAGACTTTAATAGACACTTACATACGGCCACATATACATATAATTATAGATTAGAGTACATTGAAAATTAAGTACTTGGAAGTTCTTTTAATAAGTTCTTAAACTAATGGCACATTGAATACAATTACAATTGTGTTATATTTTAAGTACACTTGCAGTTAACATCATTTATGTTTTGTAGGTGAATCGAAATGGTTAGATTATTATTTTGATTTGATTTATTGTTTATCTTTAAAGTTTAAGCACATGAATCACAGTATCACAGTATTTTGTTGCTGCGTAAACAAATAAAAAATAAAAACCAAAAGAAAAATAAAAAGATCAAATGAGTTTCATTTGATATTTATGCTATGCGGGCAAGAATTGTTTAGTGGATTGTACTTTGGTGTCATCGGCAGCAGACCTAAATTTAATATTTAAAAAAATATATATATATACTTATAAAAGCACCATGCATAACATTTCGTTATTAATGAATTCTCAAAATGAAATAGCTTTCACTCAAATTTCTAAAATATATATTAATAATATGTGTATATATCTAAGGCAAGTTGTTTTCTTTTTCACATTTTTGGAAGCCAGTAATTCATTTTGAGTTTTTTTTAAATTATTACACGGAATCATGCACAAAAAACACAACGAAGCAATGCACAACATATAAGTTAGGACATTAAGTTAACACACATTATTTGAAACTAATACAATTACAGAAATACATTTAGGTTGATTCTCAAAAAAATAATGACAGTAAAAATGCCTAGTTAGCAGGATATGTGCATAGCACATACAGCGATAATTATGATTCCAATTGTATCAAATTTAAATTTTACAACAGTTTAATAACTGAAGTCGGTACAATGGGCTTTACTAAATTTAAATTGGTAAGTAGAACAACTTGGGAGGCTTGCCACAAATAAAACCTTGCATGTGGAATCTTTCATTGTTAACCAGGTTGAATATTTGGATAGATACTATTACGCTAACAAACCTTGTAAAATGTGCCAACAAGTTGGGCGCAAGCTCATGATCCAACTTAAAAGCTAAACTAGACAGATCTAATCTGACCTTGGCAGGAACGTTTGTGGTTAAGCAGCCGCAACTGTTTGGGAATCTTAGTGCGGCGTCAGACTTGAAAGAACTGCTGGCCATGACGATGACGTGTTCTTGTCACATACTGTAAGTTGAGAGCAAATATGAATGAAAGGATAAGTGGAACTTATTCAGTTGACTTACCTATACGTTCACAGGAGCGTCTCATTGCCGTAGCGCTGTAGTTGCGGATAATGCGAATAGCTGGTATGATGTGCCTGATGACCATGATGATGCTTCTGCGGCACATAATGCAGGCGGTGATGCGAGGAGTGAGCATGCGGCGGCGATTGCTGCTGAACGCTGCGTCCCAGCGAATAGTTGGACATTTGATTCAAAGAGATGGAGCCAGCGCTCGTTTGCGATTTGTGCTTGTACGGACTGCTGATTATTGGCGGTGAACTGGCCATCGACTGATGTGACGGACGCACCGAATGGTAGGAGACAACCGTGCTGCTGCAGGCAATATGCGAGCCACGCGAACTACTCTGTCCATCGAGCGTGTGCTGCTGCTGATGATGATGATGGTGATGATTATGTGGCTGAAGCTGCTGTTGCAACTGCTGCTGTTGCTGATGATTTGGGTGTATTGTGCGCTCTCCGCCCGGTGTTTGCTTGAGCGGACGCAGAGACAACTGTCGCTTGTACATGCTGGATATGCTTGGTCCCAGCACCCAAGCGAAACAACAAATGCCCAGCATGAGCTCCATGAAAGGCTCGCGTTAAATATGGCCAAAGTGGCGTGCTCGTCTCCCGCGCGCTCAGCCACACATCAATGTTGGCAAATTCATAGATAACAGCGAGCAGCAGCAGGGCACAGGCGGCGCCATAAATGAAAAGAAAGATACCAATGCCGGAGCTGTTGTGCGTGGCCAGCTGCAGTTGCTGCTGCAGACTCAGCGCATTACTATTGCGCAGTATCTCCTTGTTGCGGCAGTGCACCAAATATCCAGATATTAGATTCATTGACCCAAAGATCCAGTAGCAAAAGACGGGCGTGGCGACCAGCACCTGTAGCGCCTTATCCGACTGATTGCCCACGAAGCAGGCGCCTGATCAAAATTATAGCAATTATGTTGGAAATTCGCTCGAATTGATACACAAAAGCACACGCAAGGACTCACCCAGTAGTTCATCGGCATCCACCAGTCGCATTACAATGACCGCTGCCGTTTGAAATGCGGGCAGTCCCCAGGCCACAAAGCAAACAAAATTATTGCGCGCCAAATCCTGTTGGGCGGTGTTGCCACTCCCACTACCACCATGCCTCTTGGCGGCGGCAGGCAACGCAATGTGTCCTTTGGTGTCCGGACTATTGCGGCGTATATCGCGATGCCAACCAAGGCATAAAATTGCCCACCTGTGCACAGACAAAACAATTATATTTATGGATTGCCGACTCGAAAATTCTTATTCTTATGATCAAAAAGATTGGATGAATGAGAGCGAACTTACCAGGCACAGGCAGCCATGCCAAAATAGTAGCGCAATAGAAAGACGCTGGCGCAGGCCGCATTGGATAGTCCATCCACGCTGAGCAGGAGCTCATTGGGCGCCTGGGGATCCGTGCCGCAGGAGGTGCCCGTGCGTCCGACAATGAAACGGACCGTCCAGCCAATGGTGATCATGTTGTGGCACCAGAGCAACGGTGACAGCAGACGCGACCATTTGGCGCCCGCATTGCGTCCACAATTATCGCCACCGAGGAGGAGAAGACAAAGTGTGGCGACGCAAGCGAGTCCCAGGGCAGCATAGGCCCACGTGGATACCCAGATCTCGGAAAAATGCTTCTCACTTGGTGTAAATAGAATGTCCGCCTCGCAGAGTGGGGCACAGCGTCCGGAGCGATGCAGTTTCACATATAAATGGGATTTGGCCAATGCGGAACAATCGAGCGGCAGAGATGGTGCTAATTTGATGCCAGTTCCTGGCATATTCATATTCGGGCCATATATGTCATGATCCTCCTGCAGGGGCAAATGCGTCTCACCGGGTCCCTCCATGCACATGGTCTCGTGATTGTTCTCGCGCGGAAAACGCTCACAGTCGAGCGCCGGCGGCCAGGGAAACCCAAATCCCTGCAGCACCGGATGGCAACGTATCCGTACAGATTCACACAGACTGCGACAGGGTCCAATGGAATGCACCGGCGCCTTGGGCGTACACATTGGCACATAGGCGGCACAGAGGAACAGCTTCAGCTGGGAGCTGCAATCGTATTCGATGAGCGGCGCGAATGTTTGCAATGTGTATTCCACATCCGTTTGCAGCTCGTGTCCAACGAGATTTGGCATGGATGTCTCATTGTAGCCAATGCCGCGGCACATTTCGATCCGAATGGGCTCGCACTGGCGAAAGATTATCTCCGACGGCGCGTGGCTACTACTACTACTACCACTACTAATACTACTACTACTACTGCTGCTACTACTACTGCTGCTGCTGCTGTCCCCTGCTCCTCCACCGACAACGATTACTGTCCGCGCCTCCAGCAGTTGCAGAAGCAGCAATACTGCGGCCAGCTTCCATTTTGCATTCATTCTGCTTCTGCTTCTGCTTCTACTTGTTGCTCTTGTTGTTGCTGCTTCTCTCACTGATTTGCATAGTGCGCATCAGTGTTGCCAACCTTGATCTAGCAAAAAAAAAAAAAAAGCTAAAAATATATTGAAATAAATATATTTTATTTGAGCGAAAATAATTTTTTTTTGTTTATGTTATCTGTGCAATGAAAATGTTCCTCTGATTTGAGAAAAGAAGTTTACTCCTTTTTTAACAAATTAACAAGCTAAAAAGAACCGTCAGCAGAAAAAAAGCTGAATTAGCAACACTGTTATGCACCTCGAACCCTTTTCTACATACAAAAACTGGTTTCACATGCTCTCGCACTCGTTAATATGCGCGATCTCTTTCGCACAGCTCATTCGCTGCAGACATCGCCGTCGCCGCCACCGACCGCCCGACCGCCTGTCTGGCCTGGACTCCCCTTGTCAACTCGTTAACTACCTTGGCGTCGTTCTTGTTATCGTGCCGTCGCTGCTGCTGCCGCTGTCGCCGTTGCTGCTGCAAACTAGTTTGGTGTTCTTGTTCTTTCACAATTGGTATGCAGATTATCTTCTCCCAATTACAAATTTCATATGCACTTTAACACATTTTAACTAGTTCTGTTTTATTTTTTTTTAATATTTTGTATGTTGTTCCTGCTGCTGCCCAAATTTGAAGTTGTTTATGTTTTCGATCGTTTAGGAATTTTGGTTCGTCAATTTGGTTTGTTTACTTAAGTCGCAGGTAAAAATATCTTTTCATTTATGTGGTTGGCTAGTCACACAATTTGCATTGGATATATATATATATATACTTTTCTCTTGTTGCATTTATATGATTTTACACTACCAATTTGATTTTGTGCTCACTAGTTGAATGTTTACTTTAACTTAAAGGGTGAAAAAGTTGTAAATATTGCGTTGAATCGTTCGCTAGAATATGTAGATATGTTTCTATCGATAACACGCTATTAAAATGAGGTGGCACGACGATTACTCTAGTGCTATTAAAAATACAGTGTTGGCAAACAGCCTGCAAGTCATACCATCCACAAAAGCACAAAATTCGAAATCCACAATATCCAAAATTACAAGCACAGTGGAAGAATAAGCGTTATTTATTTTTAGTTTTTTTTTATTGAATTTAAATAGAATTATTAACTGGTATATATGAAGATAGCAACAAGTAACACAAATTGCACCCTTTTTCATCAACGCTATACCAAAACAATTTTCTAACGATTCACAACAATATATGCCCAAATTTTTACAATTTCCATTAACAATGTCGTTTTTAACTGTACACACCACTACAAGAGCGAAATGCATATGTATTGAAGATCGACAGACGCGAACACCATGCACTTTTTCAATTTTGCATTTGTTTTTCTCTTTCGCTATCTCTCTCTTTAAGACACATGCTCTCTTGCTTGCTTTTATGATTGGCCTGAATGCGGTTTTGTCTCTGTTTTCGAAAATACGGCCGCAAATGCTCTCTCTCTCTCTTTCTCTCTCTATCTTTGTCTTTATCTTACGGGGAAAAATCAAGAATTCGCATTTTTAGCCACATATCCTTTTGTGTGTAGACTTTCGTTAACCGCTTTTGTATATTTATAATATAGTATATATGTAATAATATTTGTATATGTAGTTATAGATAATTGTTTGTTTTAAGAATATTACAAATACTTTACATTATTTAATTAGTGCGAGTAACATTACAATAAAATCGAAAAACAAGCACAATATATGCTCAAAATATGAAATAGTTTTGAAGTTTTTGTTTTTTTGTTTTGGGGTATGCTTAAATATATAAACATATATATATGTATATATATATATATATATATATATAATTTGATGCAGAATATGTATATGTATGTATATCTATGTACGTATGCCATATGAGGATTGACAACAATTGTTCAACAAAAACGAATATCAGCGATAACAAGAATTATCTTCGGCTGCCAACGGCCGAAGCAGCCCGCATTATTATTACTCTCACCCAAAATTGTGGCACATAAATGTTAATATATTGACTATTGTGTGTTTTTGCTTTTCTTTGTCCTATGCATCCAAATCTTTGGTTGAATTTGGGGGCTTGGGCAATTCTTCTATTTCATAGTATATTGCTTTTACTCATCGTAGTCGGTGATCATCAGGCCCCGTTTGGTGAAGTTTATCGAAGAGATCGTCGAGAGATGCGGTGCCGTATCTATCCCATCGAAGAGGTCACTAGTAGCTGAACTATTTAACGAATTTAGCGTTACGTTGAATGATCCGCCAGCGGTATTGAAACGCAGCTCCTGCAGCTCCTGTTGCTGCTTTAGGTTATCCAACTCGTCCCTCAATGCTTGATTGCTTAGACGCAGACTCTCCGCCTCTTGCAGGCAGTCGCGTAAGCTGCAAAATTGACATCATTATAATAAATGTATATATTTGAAAATATTTCAATTTCATTTTCAATTCATTTTTAAATCAATGCATTCAATGATGACCTAAACACGAACGAATATCAATTATGTTACCAGCCCACATATATATTTACTTAAAGAAGATCGACTTTCAATTGGAATTTACTTGGCATAATAATTAAATAAATAGAGTTTCAATGGGAAACCATAACAGAAATTCAAGTCATGTGTTTAGTCTGCAATTAACTTCAATTGAAATTCAATTCAATGCAAGAACAACTCACACATATACAACGAAAAGAAAAATGTCATTTAAATAAATATAACTGGAATCAGCTTATATATTGAAATTCAATTCTAGTTGCAAGTGAAACCGGTTATTCAATTTGTTTATTTAATTGTACTAGAAAAAAAGAAAGAATTTGAAAGAGTATTTCGTATATATTTGATTGTATATACTACGTTATTGTATATACTTATACTTGAAATTCAAAATAGTAGTTCAATTTTTTGAATTCCACATAAAAAAAATGAATCGGTTATCATCCAGCCACCCCCACTTACTTATCAATTTCGTTCTGCATGCTCTTGATGTAGTCGCAGGCCTTGATCAGGATTTGTGATTTAGAGTCGTTGGGTGGTGTGCGTCCATTATTGTGGCTGCTACGCAGGCTCGTCGAAGTTGTGGTCGTCATAGTCGTCTTGTTGCTGCCGTCTACCGTTTCAGCCGAGAGATTTGCATTTGTGGTTATTTGCGGCTTATAGCGATTGCCCTCCGTGGGCAGCATCTCTTTTAGCTTGAAGATCCAGCAGTTGATCTTGTCGCGCCGGCGACGCTCGACTTCGTTGTGGGTGGCACGACGCTTATCGTCCCGTTTCTTATAAGCATCCAGCTTGACATTAAAGTGAGATGGAACAGCTGCTGTCTGGGAAGCATGAGCTGGAAGAGTTGGTGGATGTGGATGGTTGGCCACTGCAATAGAGGAAATGCTGCCGTTGCCATTGTTGGGTGGCGTTGAATCTTTGTTGGCAGCAACAACAACATTGTGTGTGGTGGGCGTGGCAGCGCCTCCGCCACTAACGAATAGCACGCTCGTGGACGGTATGGAGTCCGGCTCCAATTTGATGGATGCCATTGCTGTTGTGTTTGTTGTTGCTGTTGTTGTTGGGATCGTATGTTTCATTTGCAGCATTTGTTCGCTCGTTTTGGTGTCCTTAACTAAATAGATTTCACAACCGGTTGGCAGCTGCAGATTTGTGGGCAAAAGGGCATGCAGTGCATCTAAATCTGGTTCCTGCTTAATGCTCTCAATGGCATAGAATTCTTGAGATTCATTCGAGTTGTCATCATCGCCGCAAATGGTTAAATATATTTGTGCACCATTATTAATGTCAGTCACGCCTCCCATGCTGCTGCTGCCGCTGCCGCCGCTGCTGCTGGTTGTGAGAAACAGACCGCTTGTGGTGCCTCCCCCAACAATATTTGCAACGTTGCCATAAACTGAATTGCTCAGGAGCGCAACGTCTGTGGCTGTGGCAGTGGCAGCTGTTGCTAGCTCCAGACGTGGCCGTTTCTTCACATTCATTGCAGCTGTTTGTTATTGCTTGTTGCAGTTGTTGTTGTTGTTGCAGTTGCATTAGCTGGCATCTCACGTAAATTTTGGGTGTCTCCTCCTTGGTATTTTTTTTTTTTTTGTGTTTTGTTGTTCACGTAACTTTTAACTGGTGTACTAACTACCGTTATGCCGAAACGTTGCGACACACTGCGTTGGCAATTCGCATCGAATTTGTTTTGCCATTTAGCTGGCTACAATAAACACGATATCAACACATTTGTTGTTGGCTTAAACAACAATAATAATTGCAATTGCGATGATGTGCGATGGCTGTTCTTTTTTTTGTGTCTGGCATCCTTATCTGGCAGACTTCAGCTGGCAACCTCACCCGCAACGTAAGTGAGTCAAGAATTATCGCATTTTTAAGATAACGTCCATGGAAAATACAAATGGCGCAAAACGTTTGCTCTGCGCAACTACGTCATATATACAAAAGTATGACATATCAATATCGCTGTTAAATTACAATTTTGCAGTGTATTCCAAGCAATAATACGAATTTAGAGCGCTTAAAAGCATATGGAACAATAAGAGGTATTTGCTGATTGGAGCGCCGCCACAATTTGTCTCTGACGTCACGAACATATTTCTGAAGGCCTAGAAAGCTGCGCATGGTGTTACCTTCTAAGATCTAATATTCTTGGCATGTAGTCGATACATTTCAATTTCGATATGCCGACAGCCAAAATTTGATTTTTGCAATACGACGATAGTGTGGAACATAAACAAAAAAGAACCGCTTGAGTTGTGCGGATATTTATTGAAATTAATATATATTAACATACCCTGATGGCTATCTCTTCGGCACGTGAATCACTCTCGTTGGCGTTAAACAATCGATTTCTGCCTAATCTCGAGTACTTACTGCAAGGCTCTATTTTAGACACAGCCGTCGAACATTTGATGCACAGGTGTGTATGAAAAAGCGAGCGAAACTTCGGAATAAACTTAAAACTCTCCCGACAGGTTGAAGGGTCTATGTGATAATGTTGATACGTCACCAGAGAGATTTCACGATCTTGAGGTATGCATGAGCCTGAGGCAGCCAACATCACCACAGCCGCTTTTGTTGCGCGTGCGACGCGCCCTGGGACAAGATGCTCCATTTCAGATGCGCTATTTAGGTCAGCCCGAAGTGGATATGCGTCGACCAACACTAGTTCGCAGCTGCATGGACTGCGCCTGCACCAATGGAATTCTCGATTTTCTTACCGAAATGGGCTTTCGCCTCGAGTTCGAGTATATAGCAAAAGGTTACCTTTTTGTGTTATGATTAGCTACGAGGATTAAGAAAATATATATCGATTTCTATGCAGGATACATGTTTCGCAAGGGTCGCATGAAAATTACCGTGTCCAAGCTGATTAAAATTGTGCCCGGCAAGCAGCAGGACATGGCGAATGAGCCCATCTCACAGAGCTACATTGTCGAGTTGTCTGTGGTGGCGCCCACGGGTCAGGAGAACGTGGGCGAGGAAATGCGTGTGTTTGCGGAGCAGCTAAAACCATTGGTTCAATTGGAAAAGATCGACTACAAACGTCTGGGCAATCTACCATAAGTCCATTGGCTCATACCACTCTCATACTTTAGTTATAAAATGTAGCATATTATTGAAACACAAAAAAAAAGAAGAAAAATAAATGCAAATTGTCATTTTATCCATGTGATGACATTTTTAATGCATTGTAAAAGAAATTAGTCACGAAAAAAGAGATTTGCGTTCCCATAACGATTTACCAACTCTAAAATTTGAAGATCAATTAATTAAGATGGGAAAGATTTAAAACGAATTAACATATTGATTGATGATAGAATAATCGGCCGACTTGTAGAAAACATATTTGAACAATTTATTCATGTTCAATTCAACAGTAATTGAACCACTTAATTGTTTAAAGACTTACACATACAAAAAAATACATTCAATACAATGTGTGTATAACAAAAAAATATGTACGGAAAAAGTGACAAATTGTGGGGGAATGCAAAACACAAGTATGTATTACTCGTTCTTGTTTTTGTCCTAAATTCACAGCTAACACCTAAAAACAGTGACCACATGCTAATCCTTGAAGGCCTCGTTGAGGGCGTCCAAATTTCGTTCGCTTATATGACCCTGCAGGTCGCTGCGACCCATCAGCGATATGACCATCTTTAGAGTGCTCCAAATGGACTCGGACATTTGATTTTGGCCAACAGCCTGGGCACTGGGCAGCTCCCGGGCGGCATTTGTGTGCGCCTGCATGGTTAGAGCGGTGATCAGATGCTCAGCGGCCTCCTTGTAGGCCTTCAGATTCATGCAGCAAACGCCGACGTTGTACCGGACGCGTATGAATCCCGGCTGGAGTTGGAGTGCCTGCTGATATGCCTCAACGGCCTCAACGGAACGTGAACCATTGGCTAAACTGGCACCAAGACGATTCCATAGCTTGGCGTTTTGCGGATCAACATGGACGGTCGAGCGATAGCAATCGACTGCCTTGTCAAACTCGCCTGATAGATTGTAGAGAACGCCGAGTGCCTCTTGCAGATCGGAATCGAGTTGAGCGGGCTGCAGGCGTACCGCCTCCAAATAAACCTGCTGCAGATCACGCAGCTTGTGGCCGCCAATTAGCGAGGAGGCCAACGAGGTTGCTTCTGATTGCAGCTGCGGATAAGCGGTCAACAGATGCTTATATTTTGGATTCACCTCCAGCCAAGTGGATAACATTTTCACTGCGTTGCTCTGCAAACCCTCGTTGGTATAGCAAACGGATAATGCCATCAGCACCTGCCGATTATCTGGCTGCAGTTCGAGTGCACGCTTCAGTGCCGCAATGGCCTGTGGATCCATTTCGTTTTCGGCTTGGGACATACCCAGCAGCTGCCAGACTTCGACACGTTCAGGCTCCTTTTTGGCGGCTACCTCAAAGCAGAGCACCGCACTGGGTATGTCACCTTTGGTTAGGTACTCCTTGCCCTTTTCAAATGCATTGTCCAGTTCGGACATGGGATTCTGTTCGGCAAACTCGTACTCCTTGTACGCATCCAGATTCTCATTGTATTCGGAGAGCCACGGATGCTCGTTCTCTTCGGAAAGCTTTTGCCATTCGTCCTGCAGTCGCTGCCAGAACTTTTCATTGAAATTCGACGCAGTCTGCTCGCTTTGCTCGTTGTTGCGCTGATAGTCGTTAATCCAATCGTTGACAGATTCTCCAGCATTCTCGACCTTTGGCAGATTGTCGGTTATGATTGTTTCCATGCCTTCATCGAAAAAGGCATCGTGCTGCTGCTGCAGCTGAGGTGGCGCTGTCATGGCCATATATGGTTGTCGCATCATTGGTGGCGGCATGAAATTTTGGCTGGTAATTAGCGGCTCATCGAAGAACTCCTGGGCATGTTGCATGTGCTGCTGTTGCGGCTGCATATGCAACATTTGGTTTGACAGCTGTTGTCGCTGTTGTTGCTGTGCAAAGTCCCGACTCCACTGGACACCCATCGCTGCCTCCTCTGCTGCTCCACTATGGATTTCAATGCCACGCATCTCCTGCAGCAGTTTGTCCATTTGAAAGGATTGCGGCGGTGCGGCAACTTGGCCGAGAAAATCATTGACCATCTGCTCGTCCGGGCGCAGGCTGCGCTCGAATTGCGCCTGTTGAATACCTTCATTCTTGTGGGCCACATCGCGGGTGAATTGGCCGCCCAGCTGCATCAAGGGATTCACAGCGCCACAGTCGCCTTCCACAAGTGGACGTAACGACATCGTTGCTACGTAACAAGTAACTTGCCTCGCTTACTCTAAACACCTTGAGGAGGATGAAGTTCTTTAAGATAAGAAGCGAAACAAAAGTCCAAATGTCCACAATGGAGATGGACTATATATACATATGTAATATATGCTTTAATCCAAATAGATATATCGAATGCAGCCAGACTTGTTTTAACTATCGATATATTGTGCGTCACATATATCGATGATGAGTAAGTAGCGGTACTTTGCTACCACTTGGTAGATTTAAAATGTAATAAATTTGTGATTACATTTGTGTCAGTGTAATGTCAAAAACCAGAGATATTATTGTAATCGAAATACTTATATGTATACATTTATTGAAGGTATGATTTTGTTTGGGGTCTGTGAACTAGATGTATTTGTGTACTAAGTACTAGGTGCTGTTTGGAGGACCTGCTGCAATCGCTGCAGGCACTTGCGTATGCCCACATCCTCACCAGCGGCACGCTTCAGCTCTACGTTGACGGCCTGTTTGCGCACAAAGCTATAGAGTGGTGCCACCAATTGTGGAGCCGGCTCCGCCAGCTTGATGAGCATCTGGAAGTAGAAATAGGTGCAGTGCGCCAAATGCTTTTCGGCCAGCGAGCGTATGTCATCGGAGCAGATCTCTTGCGCCGCCATTGAACGCTGGAACACACCGAGATGGACCATCTGGCGATAGAGATTCAAAACTTGGATGCGGCTCGGCTCCAGTTCGCCGACAAACATGATATGCTCCAGCAGTGGAATATTCACAGCTTTTAGGAGCGTTAAGAGCTGTGGTTCTGCACTCGGCGCATCCTTTGTCTCACCCAATCCTACGAAAAGTTGCTGTATCACCATGAGGATTAATCCAACATTCGCACCCACTTGGTTTCGCTGCACACCCAGAAATTGACTCGCCAAATTCTGCAGCACAAACTGGGCCAGTTCGCCATCCGCATCCGCTTGTAGAAGCGTTGCAAATGGACGAGCCACCAGTTTGACGTTGCTCGTAAAGCCAAAAAGCGGAGTCCAGTGAAGGATGAGCTGCTCGAGTGTTCGACCAAGATACGCATCCGTGCGATATGGCAACCGGCCAATGCCCTGCAACAGCACCGGGAATATCTTGTGCACCAATTGTGGCAGACGACCCTCCGGTTGAATCCCCGCTTGCAGCTGTGTGGTCAACAGAAAACGCACCATAGCCAGGTGGAAAAAGCAGCTGGGCTTGGAGCGTACATAGGTCAATGTGGCGCAATTATAAATGACAATGGCCAAAAAGTTATAGAAGCGTGCCCCAATCTCTGGACGCTGCTCCGTCAGTGCTGGGGGCAGCCACTGCTCAAAGTGCGCCACATAGCCATGCAACTTGTGGCTGAGTTGCATGCGAACGTGCGCCACTGCATCCTGCTGCTGAGCGCGACGACCCAATGCGCCAAAGAAGGCACACAACGGTTCACGGCCCTCCAGCGACGAAGCATCCAATCCCAGCGCACGAAACTCTGCCAGCTGGGCAACATGTGGCGTTAGGGCCAGCACGGATTCATGCTGCGCCGTGAGCAGCACCAGCGATTTAATCCACACTTGGATGACAAGCACACTAGGTGCGACAGCAACAGTAGCGGCATCATCCTGTTGTTGCATCAGCACATGGAGCAGCAGTTGGGCACTGGCAGCCGTATTTGCTGGCTCGGTGCCCAGAAGCAATAACTCCAGTAACTTACGATCCTTGTCCAGGGCAACGAAATCGGCCGCCAATTTGGGCAACCAGACGCTGTAGCCGTTGGCATATTGCAGTCGCAACTGTGGCAGTACATGCTGCTGCAGTGCATCCCACATGGCACTCGACGGATTTTCCTTTAGTTTTTGGCACAGTAGATGCAACGCCTGCCAGACGCGTTCCTGTGCCGCCTGACCACTGTGCTCCAGATAATGCGTCAGCCAGGAGGACACAAGGAGTTGCTCACCACGTGCACAATCATCGGCCAGCTCGAAGATGGGTTGCAGTGTCGCTCCAAAGATGCCACCGACATCAACATCGTTGCGTACGACTGCCAATTGAACGAGCAGCTTGCTCACATAATCCTCCATCGGCTGTCGGCGCTGCGCATGGAGCAGCAACAGGGCCATGTGTCCTTTGGCAGCCAGTTGGCGTCGTGCCGGCGGCAACTTGTCCAGCGCCAGACAGAGTAGCAATTCACGCAACTTGGGCGCCAGTTCGCCAAACTCTGCATATGTGAGCAGCAGGCAAAGGAATAACTCGATCACATGATGTATGCCGGATTCGTTTAAGGCCAACAGCTTGGCAGCACTAAACTTGCTAAAGATACGACCCATTAGCTTTTGCGCTCCGGTACGTCCCAGAGATGGCAGCTGTTGCAGCGTCTTGCCCAACAACAGCACAAAGATCGTAAAGCTGCTCAGATTTAAATCCTCCATTTGCGGACGGGCGAGCAGCATACGATAGCGTTCCACATAGGCAGCGCCGCTGGTGCAGATCAATGGCAGCTGCTCGAGCAGCTGCATACTAAAGCTAGAGTTGAGCATACGATGCAGATACTCCCATAGCTGGCACAGCACATCCGTATCGGGCTGTGCCCAGCGAAGCTGCAGTGGCGCTATCAGACACAAATAAACGCGACGCTGCTGCTCATCCGGCTGACAGGCAAGAAACTGTCGCAGCAGGCTTCCAGTCTGCAACAGTTCTGCGCCGACAGTTGCTGGTTTGCTCAACTGCAAACCATCTGCGCCATAAGCAGCCAAGCGAGCGAGACTAAGGCGCAACCAGGCATAGAACTCGTGGTAAGCCAAGGCGGTAGCGTTGTTGCCACACTCAGCTGCAAGAAAATAGAATGTAAGGTTAACCAAACAAACATCGCTAGAAAGTTGAAAACGTACGCTGCAGTTGTGTCTTGTGTCGCTGCATCGCCCGATGGAATAGTGGCCAGAACGCGCATTCTAAGCCCATTTGCTGATGGAGCAGCAGCCAGAGTTCCTTGCTGCAGCGGCACACGAATGCCGAAGTGTGCAACAGTTCAGCGCTGTGTTTGCTACGATAGTGATAGTTGGCGCAAAGCACCAGATCATCGAAGATGCGCGCCAGTTGCGTCTGATAGCACAGCTGATCCTCTTCCTCCTCCTCTCCAGTTGCAGTTTGATGCTTTCGCAGCAGGCACAAATCGAGCAGACGCCACTCAAGTGCCCCGTGGTAGAGTTGATAGGCAGGCGCCTGGCACTCATTGCCCTTGACATGCTCTGCAAAATAGAGGACACGCCATGCTGACGCATCCAGACAACTATTGAGCAGCTCACGGAGCTGCCGAACGCCGGGTGAGATAATGTGCCACTGCTCCGATATCTGCACGTCGTGCAACAGCCAATGGTAAAAGTGTGTGACCTGCTGGCGTGCCTCATACCAGCTGGCAGTGGCAGCACTTAGCGCGGATTTGGATTGAAGATGCTGCTGACCTGCTACAGCGCCGCACAGCTTCTGTATATTCTTGCTAGGATTAATTCGATTCTGATTATAGGATACAGGACGCACTCGGACTAATACTCACCACGCCTCGCCCTGCAGATAACGAACTACCATGCACACTTGCAGCTGTCCCTCCTCGAAATTAAAGCTTAATCTGTCCAGGCGGCTGCGTGGCACCGGCGCATCCAATGCATAGCCATTTCGCACAAATCCCGTGTTGGGCAAATCATTCGAAGCCCTGCTCGTATCCCGTCCGCTGCAGTTAAATTCGGGCAGCATGTCCAGTGCATCCCTATCGTCATCAGTAGCAACATTCAACTCGTCACTGTTGCCCAATAATTGCAGCTGCACCTGCGGCTCTGGCGGCAACTTTTGCGACACTTGCAAATAGGCACTCAGAATGTCCTCATCGTCATCTGACTGGAAAAGATCATAGTCCATGGTAAGTGCAAGGACTTGAATATTATTATAATCATTTGTTTTTGTTGGCAGCACATGAACTGCAGCGTTTTTAGCGGCAAATTTGTCAGCTACACATATTCAGCTGGCAATATCGATAGCCAGCAACTATCGATTACCAGAACGATACTGAACAAGAAATTAATTCAAGCGAACTACGCATTGCGTAAAGCCGTTATCCAAGTTTACGACTGCACTGATGTTACGTTATTTGTTATTGTTTGTTGAATATATGTGAGATGAGATTGCATCTAATCCTTATTATCTGTAAATGTCTACAGCTCACTAATTTCGCAAAGAGAATCAGCGCATCTGTAATTTATATTGAATGTAAGATTTACTTTTCGCTTCTATACAAATTTAAATTCATTTTATTTACGTACATAAGTTTAAAAAAAATACTAGACTTCAGTGGACAAGACGTGTAAATATATAGATATATCATTGTGCTTGCCTAATTTGTGTTGTAATTGCGAACGAGCCTTCTCAAAAGGAATACAAAATAATTTCAACGGCTTGCGGAACGAGTTCGACCTCAAGTAGAACTAGACAACATTCTTGGCGTCGCGGGGTATACGATTCGTGAGTAACTTGGCTGGCAGGAAGCCGGAGTCGCCCAGATACTTGATGGACACATTGCCGGATGCACTGATTGTCAGCCAAGTGATTGATGCATGATTGATGCTAATGCGCAACCAGGCCTCGGCCGGAAACTGCAAGGCGCGACAGACAAAGTAGCGTATCACATTGCCATGGCCAACGATGAGCGTATAGCTCTCCTTCTCCTGCTCCGGATAGGCACGATGGAAGTAACGTCGGAAGGCGGCCTCAATTCGGGCACCATCCCGGAAAAACTGCTGCAAATAAAACGAACAAATTGGGCAGTGGTTATACAGTCTGATTCAATCTATATATATATTCAACTATAACTGACTAGATAAAATATCTGCTTGGGGATTGAATCGTCTGGATGGAGATACGCATATTTATGAAAGGCACTGTACGTTATATGTTGCCTAGAGTACAGTTCTGGATTACTCACCGATCCTTCAGGCTTCCAGTGGCCGACGGGTGGCTGTGGTGGAATTGGGGCACCTTCGCGCAGAAATGGACAGTTCTTCACATTGGCCTTGTCATAGTCAATCTCATTGAGTATAATATCGGCCGTTTCCTGGGCACGCACCATATTGGAGGCAATCACCTTGTCCCATGTGATGCCCAGCTCGTGCAGACGCTGCCCGGTATATTTGGCCTGCTGGCGGCCACGATCAGTCAGATGGTGTGAATCATCAGTGTCGCCCACATCCAGATATTCGCCATGTCGGATCAGTATGATGTGACGTGCTTTCTTTGGCACATGCTTCTCCAGTTCGCTGTTGTAGCGATTCTGCTCCTGCGGATTGTCATTCTTTAGCGGCCGCACCAGACTCTTTGGATCGCGAAAATCCCAGTTGCTGTTCCACAGCGCACAATCGCTAATTGGCGTCTCGCTGTTCGTCCACGAGTTGTGGACCCTCAGCTGGGGATCGTTCAGTCGCTGGATGTAGTAGGCGGAGAGGCCGGCAATGGTGCCGCACGCAAATGCTGTGAATTTTCGCATTTTTTCGTGGCTTTTGGTGCGATTTATTGTTCTGTTCACAAATAGACCAAAAGGCGGCATATAACAGCTGTGTGTGGAAGCTGCAAGCGTTGCCACATCTGGCAATTTCATAAAGCGCGCGCGATTGCGCTGTGGCAACGCCCTTCAGATGCAAATGTATATTATTATTGTTATCTTTATTAATCGACGACTTTTGAAAATTCAGTAAATGGATATATTGTCCAGTCGCAGTCAACAGCTGTAAACGTGCACATTGTTTAGTATTGATTAAACAGCTGAACGCATTAGCTGCCAGCCCAGCCAAATTGCGCGCAGTAAATTTGAATATATACACATGTATATTTTTTTAATTTATTGATATATTTTTCATTAAACTACTACCAACATATTATATAATAACCATGCATTAAATAAGTATGAGTTTTATATAATACTGTGTCTATATAAGTATTACATTTACTTGATATACGTTTACGTGTGCATTATTCATTTATAAATTAGGTTGCTCTCTCTCGCGCTCTGTCTTCAGTGCTGTTTAACACTAATTATTAATTTAAACTAGGGCTTTAAAAACTAGATTACTGCACATTTAAAGCTGCCGCTTTAGTAGTTGCGAGTTTTTTCCCTCATTAACAGAACATAGTCCGCTTCGCTATGTTCTAAGCACTTTCGGCAGTTGCTTCTGCAGGTATTTCCGGCTGATCCGCCACTGGCTGCTGCTCTTGTTGCTGATCCACAATGATTGTGCGCACATAAGTTGCACTGGCTTCGACTACAATTGTGGGCAACTCGTTGGCAGCAGGTGGACTGGCAGCAGCCACTTCGACTGCTTCCACTGGGTTAGGCGGCACTGCTTGTGTTTTAGCTTCACCTGTCGGCTTAACATGCTCCCCAACCTTTGTATCTGCTGGCTGTGTAGTTGTTGTTGCTGGCGCTGCTGTGGCTTCCATATCCGTCTCAGGTGGCTGATCAATGACAACGAGGGGCGCTGACATGGCGGAAGCTGCTTCTACAACTGGAGATTCAACAGCGGGAGATTCTGCTGTTGCAATGGGAGCAACTGGAGTAGCTTCTGCAACAGGAGCAGCTGCTGCATTAGGAGCAGCTGCTGCAACAGGAGCAGCTGATGCAACAGGAGCAGCTGCTGCAACAGGAGCAGCTGCTGCAACAGGAGCAGCTGCTGCAACAGGAGCAGCTACTGCAACAGGAGCAGCTGCTGCAACAGGAGCAGCTACTGCAACAGGAGCAGCTTCTGCAACAGGAGCAGCCTCTGCAACTGGAGATGCTGTTCGCACATCGGGTGATGGTGATTTTGACTTGGATTTAACCGCTGGCGATGGAGTGCGAGAATTCAGCTCCATTAAATTTTTCTCATGCGTTGCTTTATCGAGCAACACTGAAGTCGACTGTGGCGCTGGACTTGTGCCCCGCTTGATCTCATCAATCTTGGATGTCAACTCAAGACGTATCTCCACAATGGGACGTAGCAGGAAGATGGGCACATCATCGTCGCGACGCTGATAAAGCATCTCGCCCTCAAATTCCAGCAATTTGTGCTTCCGAGCGCGCAACAGTATCCCCACGACCTTGTCCGAAATGTAGTTGTAAATCTGAGGAGATGGAGGACAAACAGTTGAAAGTTAACCAAACAGCTGGAGAGGATGGGCGAAGTTTAGCTTACATTAAACAACTCTCCGAATGGAATAACTCGCATCGATGGCTCATCCTTCACCTGATAGCCCTCGGAGTCAATGATCTGGCATAGCTCGAGCATTTCCTTCATCACATGCATATTGGCCTTTTGGCCACGCATCTCTGTCAGACTGCCGGCGAGTGGTTTGCCATACTGATCCTTGGAGAAAGTCGGCTTTGGGGATGAGGATCGGCCATCGTGCGCGAATGGGTTCAATAACTGCGACTGCTTATGCTGTGTCGCCTGATTGTTAAACATGGCCACCTTCGATGATAGCGGCGAATCCTGCAAGTGCAAAACAAAAATTTTCTTTCAATTTAAATGTTCGCAACGGGAAGCCAAAATCATGCAAAAGAGAGTCAAACTCAATCTGTCTGGCGTTGCCAGGCTGTTAACTGCTAGTAACTCTGTCACCGTGCCAGATGGCTTATTTTGTATATTATTTGGCGCGCACATGAATCAATTCGAAAAAATCGCGACACGCGGCTAGCTGTTTAATAAATTGGCTGTAATTAAATAACAGCAGATTAACATGTTCTTTCATTTTTCATTTAATAAGTGCAAAATAGTTTAGAAATGAGCGAGACATGTATGTGTTTACATGCTATATACACATGTACAGACATAAATATAGTGCAAAAGCAAATGGGACGAAAAGAATGTGCAAATGTCGGCCCATAAATAAAAACAAATCTTTGACGAAAACATGTAGTTTGAATATAATGTACTATCACTTCCTCAAGCAGCCAGTCAGCGAACACAAAGAAATTCAATTTCATAAAAACAATCTTAAAAACCAAAGAAATAGAATTTAAATAAAAGCCAGCAAACGGCCTTCACAACCAAAATTTTGTAAATGTATTTTTGTTGTGGCTCATTTCTTATAACATACCAATTTCAGCTGGCGACATATGTGTGAATTGTTTTTTTTTCTGCGAATAATTTTTGAATAATGTGTCTTTCAGTTTTGTTAAGTTTATTGCATAAATCTTTCGAGCGGATCTACTGTTGTTTGCCATATATATATGCATACTATTTGCATATGTATACTTTTGCCAGCTGTTTGCTTTATTTAACTGCGAATTTGGATTGACAGTGACAAAAAACAAATAATTAATATATGCAAATAGAAGAGCCAGGCAATGACGTTGTCAATGGCGCTGTTGTCATCCTTTTTGATCAATATCCAAAATTTCTTCAATCAATTTCGGCTGCCAGCTCATTTGCTTCATGAATTTTCATTCATATAAATAAAATAAAAATGCGCAGCTAAGCGCCATGCGATGAATGAAAATGTTAAGTATACGAATTTGGCAATAAGACTGAAAGTTATATAGGATATATACATATATATATATCTATATGTATGTGCATATATGCAAACTTATTATGTGGTTTTAATGTGCAGTAAATTCGAACAAAGGTGAAAGTCGTGTGTGAAAATGTTAAGCATAATGCAGAAATTTCAATTGAAATACAAATTTGCAAATTTTCCCATGCTAGTGAAAAATATTAAAAAAAAGAAGAAATATTCACGTGATATGAAATGAAATTTATATGTTTTACGACTGCACTAAAGCATACAATTTTTATATGGCAAAGCCAATGAACCGAACCGGTTCAAACGAGCGACCGCAACAAAAGCTAAGAAGAAGTTTTTCTACACTTTTGCTTGCGTAGGTACTTATGTATGTTATGTATATGTATCTTATATATTAAATTTGTAGTATATATAACTAAAGCATTTTGTCGGCGCCGTTGTCACTCAGCAGAAGTCGTCGCATTTAATATAGAACACATAAAGTCATACATAGATATTTACATAGACTAGTACATATTTGGTATGTATATATGTATGTATGTATGTATGTATATGAGGCTACATAACATTTAGCTATTTCAACTCAAACGATGGTCATTGCCAAGAATTTTTCCGTGTTTTGATCTTTTGCACAGTGCGACAAAAAATTTGTTTCTTTTGTCAGCCAAAGTATACACAGACATACATACATATATGCATACATACATACATACATATAGAACATACACGAGTGTATATATAGATATATATATATATATACACATACATCATACATACTGCATATATTCACTCTTTTGGCAATTCATGTGGCGACAAATTAAAGCAAAAAGCAAATAAAATTGAAAACCGTTTTTGTTGCTGTTTCGAGTTTGGTTTCTGTTTTTCTTTTTTTCTTTTTATTATAATACTTAATAATTTTTAATCATGCTGGCTTTTTGACTTTTGGGAAACAGCAACAATTTCTCACACTGAAGTGAAAATACAAATTCTGTGCGACATTTTTCCACGCTTAGTATTGTTATTTGCTTGACTTGTGGACTTGTGGTTTGTTATTATTATTTTCCATTTTCCCCATTTTTTTCGAGAGTTTTTTTTTTTGCGCACATAAATAATGTTCAGGCATTTGTCGCACGAGATATTTGCAATACAATAATATTTCTCATGGGAATTATAAAAATAACTAAACAAATTTCTCTTTCTTAATATATTTTACTTTTTGTTTTTAATTTTGTACGCCACATTCCAAAATATTTCTTGCTGCCAAGTTTGAGTCTTCTCTAATAAGGTCTAATATTAATTAGAGTTTGAAATTCTTTTTTTTATAAATATATTCAGTTATTTTTTTAGGTTGTGCACCACATTCATCATATAATGTCAAATATTTATTGGAGTTTAAAATTAGTCTTGATAATTTTGGTAGGGATTCGTTACTTACCACTACAAAACGCAGGGCGCCCAATTCATGCGATACATCGGCCATATTGTTACTGGGAGTGGGTTGTTCCTGTTTTGTAAATATTGACTTAAAAAAGCGTTCGGCCGCCGTTCCTGAAGAAGATTCACGTGTCACAAGAAAGACAGTCTCGCCTCTATTGTCGAACCTCGAGCTTGCCAAATAAATACTTTAGGTACTGTAAATGTAAATAAAGGCCAATTAAAGTTTGCGAAACGTTAGCAAAAAAAAACTCAAAAAAAAAACACAATAAACAACTAAACGGAAAAGAAACGCTACATGAAAAAGACAACCACAAAATACACCCATAATAACAATGAAAATTTGTTTCGTTTGAGCGCCCATTGTGTTTTTGTTATTTTTTTTCGCCCTAGCATTGCTACACCATTTCTTTTGTGAACCATAGTAAAAGACCAAAAAAAAAAAAAATAGATAAAAAAAAGTTGATAGATAAAAACAGAGCGGCCCCAAAAGAAAGAAGCAAAACAAAGTTAAATTACTTGGCAGCAAAAGAAGCAGCAGCACCAGCAACAGCAACAGCAACAATAATAAAATATACACAAAGACACACACACAACCTAGAAACAGAGCTGGGCCAGCTGGTTTGAACTTTTAACTCTGCAGAGTTGCGCATGCGCAATGCCAAGGCACAGTTGAGCTAGAAAATTTCTAATTTGCCGCTTTTTTTTTTTTTTTCATTGAAAAACTGGCCGGTTAACCCTGCTTCTGTTCCGCAACCCTGCCCACTCCCCGCTCCCCCTTCCCCCTACTCCACAATAACAGAACCACAACAATTTTATTGCGCTGATTATCTGTGAGAGTAATTTCTTTGGTTTTGATTTATCAAAGCTGAATTTCGTTAATCGATCGTTTTCCAGTAGAGAGTAGCAAACAGGATGGCAATAATAAAAAAATGGCGGCAAAACTTCTGCGTTGAAACGTTGCACTCACTTTAAATGGTTGTCGTTATTTGTGGCTTCCGTTTTGAACGCTTTGTTTATGGAATTCCTTTTTTGGTTGTTACACTACGTATTCGCACTTCAATGCAAATGCACTTGGACTTGAGCAATATGTATGTGTTTATAATTTAAGTGGTTTCAACACTATTTATACAAAACATGTAAAAAAAAGAGAACACGAAATAACCGCTAAGAAATATTTTCAATTAAATTCTTTTTGCGTTTCTGTGTTGATATTTTGTTGTACACCGTTTGGTTGCTGGGACCAAAAGTGAGCGCTGAAAGCGAGCGCGCTTTCTTTTTATAGCTGCACCGTGGGCAACATAGACACAGACACAGACACACTCACTCTCTCACACACACACAGCCACACACAGACACACACACACTCTCTCATAGAGTGCCTCTCCGCGCATCAATATAAAAAGCAAGTCGTCAAAAGTTTCCACAGCTGCTCTCAACATTTTCTTTTAATTTTAGATAGCTTTTCTTATTACGCTCATCAGCAAAAAACAAAAACAGATGAAAAAAACGACGAAACAATGCTCTCTGTAGTGATAACGCAGATGATATATTAATCAATTGTTATGGGGAAAATTTAGAAACTAAATTTAAAAAAAAAAAACTTACAAATTATAAAAAATGTTGTTATTGTTGTTAAGACCTATAACTGCAATATGAAGTTAAACATCTTATTTTCCAATGTTACCGATACTTTCGCTGTCTACAAATAATTGCGGTTTATTGCTTTACATGTTAAAAACATTTGAAATTGGCCCTTAACCTAGAACATATATATATATATAGAATCACCCATAATCTGCTAAGCTTTCTTGTCGGTTTTTAATTATTCTACGTAATATCACTGCACAAAATGTGTGCATGTTTTGTATGCTTCGTAATAATATATTCGGAAACGTTTTACTGGCTGATATCTTATAACAGGTATGCTGCTCTGGAATTTGTTTTTCTTTGTAGTAAATTTAGACTTTTCTTTGTTTTTTACTCTCTTGTAACAGCGTTTATTTTTCATATTCTTATTGATGATACAATTTTGCGGTTTTCTGATGTGATGGGATAAGTAAAGTCATAAAATTTTTAGTTGCAAGAGTTATTCATATGGTTTTAAGTACAGAGTACTAATGCTGGCAGCCACTTAGTAGACACAAAAACACCTGCCACTTTGAAGAAGAAATCAAAACAAACAAAAAAAAAAAAGAATGCAATTTTTATGAGTTGTTTCGCTTTATGCATTGTTGATCTTAAGAAGAACGGCGCTCGATACGCTCCGCTTCTTCTGCTGGGAGGTTAAGGTTAGGGTTAGGGTTAGGACACTGAACACATAACCGCAATCCAATCAGAGAAACAGCGAGATAATAGAAACCTAAAACTGATCGGAACTTGGGGTCATGTACGTACATAGTACTGATTAGGAACGGGTCAGAGTGGAAAGCGAGCGCCTGTTGCCAAGCATACGAAATAAAATGATACAAATGGGAATTTAAATTATTTTTTGCCTTTGGGAAAAACCGGAAGTGATCGCAACATAGCACCCCAACGCACCCCCATCTCTTACGTTCTTGTCTAGCGAAAAACCGAAGACAATCAAAAATAGATTGTTTCATCTATTGGGCAAGTGATCGGCGGCAGTAGAGCACTATGCTGCGAATACATAGTGGGAATTGCAACTATGCAAACCTACATACAATTCTAGTCAATATCATAAGCACACTCGCACATATCTTCAAAATAATACATTTCAAATGCTTAGAGCAGAGTCCAAGCATTTAAGTTCGGTTTAAAAAATACATATTTAATTTAAGCTTTGTCTTTGAAAGCTTCGTTATTGTTTCATTTCTTAGTCGGCATATTCATCCATTTTTATTGTTTCTATGAGTGTAATTAAGGTATAGATACAAAACATCCTAACTTATTGAGAATTTTTGGTAGAGTACTTATTATTTTGAACATGAGTGTACACATAAATACATAAGCAAAAATGTTGGATGCTATTCAAAAATGGCAGCTGTCTATTTGAGAATGAAACGCAGCTCCTCCTCGATTCGGTTCGGTTCGGATTGGGTGGGATCGGGATCCTGTAAAGAAATGCGTTAAGTATAAGCGTGCCCAGCTGCCTTGGCTTGTCAAATTGGCTCATGAATAAATATTTATACAATGTATATGTAAACAAAGTTTCGTTAATTAAACAAATTCGAATTGCATTGTTTAACACTTTTGTGTTGTTGTTGTATTTTTCTGTTTGGCTGACAGCCACAAGTGCATGGCGATGTTGGGCAATTGCTCATTATATATATATATGGAAAGGAAAACTTATATTTTTCCATTATAATCTGGCCATTTTTTGCTTTTCTCAAGCAATTCTGGAAATTTTTTTCTAAGCTGGGACTTTCGCTGTAATGCAACTTTTCTATTTTTAACTCACAGCTTTGAAATATGCTAGAAAATTAAATGATTATTTAACAATTCAGTGAGAATACAAGTTGAAGATCATTTTCAAATATAAAATATGGAAATCAGTTAAGATTTGGCTACTGTGGGATAGTTTTTCGATAGCGGCAAAACTCAACCACAAAAAATGAGTGTAAAATGTTTTAAGCGATGCTCAACGATTTTTGTCACTTTTTTTCTAAACAGGTAGAGTAATTTTCAGTTCGTCACAAGTTGGCAACTCAGTGTACTGTTTGTCTGGGGTAAGCTTTGGCTATTTGGCATCGGGACCCAGCCCCACGAGAAGCACACAAATAAATAAAATCAAGTCATGAATGAAAATGCGTTTGCCTCAGCGATTTCCTGTTGCAGTTTGAACTCGCATTGTACATTTTATGTGATTTAACAGTTTTGATTTTATTTTTTTATTTATTTTAATGCAAAAGTGCCACAAAAAGGTTGAGCATAATTTATTTGATGCATCTGCGGGCGTTGAAAGGCCTAGCAGAACAATTCTTACTTTGTGCAACGCTTGCAAAATTGGCATTCGACCAATTTCAACCATATTTCGTAGCATTGACATCCTGCAAACGGTTTAAATACTAAATGTTTAGCAAATAGTTTAGCCAAGTAATACATATATAATTATAAGCATAACTGAAAGTGCAATTTGTCTTCGGCGTCTGCATAAGAGATCAATCAACGAGCTGAAAATTAAAAAAAATTAATTTAAATTTGAGGAAACTATTTGCCATATTCACATTATTGAATAATATATTTATATTGTCTGATTCATATTTAAGCATTCTATTATATGGCCAATATTATCGTATTATCTTATCTTGAAATGGGGAAGCTTAAACGTTATTACATTGGAATATTGCTACAAGCTATTTTTAAGATTTCAATTTTACCATATGTAAATTTTATAATATTTTATTCGTATTGTAGTATTATTCATGTGAAGAATTAACCATTATTAAAAATGCATTGTTTTTGAAAATTGAGAAATTTATGCGACCTTTTGTAGGTTATCAATTTTATTTACTTTGATTTCAACGTGAATTTGGAGCAGCAAAAAATTCGTAACACATTTTAGAATATGCGAGAACCATTTTAAGAACATCGAATTTAAGGACTTAAAAACTGATACTTTTAGTCCATAACTGTGTGTAGTATTATAGGTAAATAATTATCTATAAGTATACAGATAATTGTAAAAATGGTATATGGGCTTATGGGACTATACGTTGAGTACACTTAGCCCGGGGCCATAAATATATACGATAGTCGGCATAATCGCATGCAATGAGGTATTCGTCGTTTTGCCTCAGTATGCGAGTATGACACATGCCGACACAATTGTTTCAAAATAGCAACCAAAAACGTCAAATGCGCAACGGGCAAGGGGCAAGGACCGCAAGAGATCAGAATGGTAAGGGGAGGGGCCCGTAAGGGGCTGGTCGGGGCAGGATAGATGTCGGACATGCCAAATGAGTCATCGGTGGTTGTGCAGCTCGTATTGAGATGGCCAACAAATGGTGAACCATATTGAATAATATGATAAAAAAAAAAATATAATTGAATATTATAATAATTCATTAATTATTAAGGCGAACTCTTAATAACTAAACGAATACAAATTGTATGAAATTGAATTGATTAAAATCAATGTAGAATCCAGTTTGAGATATGATTTAATATCGTTAATTTAAGATCACAATTTTGTTGATCAAAGTTTAAGTTCAAATTCTACGAGTTTTTCATATATTTAGCTTCTATTGCTGGTAAAGTATTTAATTTAATGGAAATTCATTAAATTGGAATCGTGTTATTATGTAGCGATTAAGTTATAAATTTTGTTTGCCATATTTGGTCATAAATTTCAGTTGCTTATGGAAATTCCTTTAATTCGGATGGCTGGCAACACGTGGCGAATGCGCAATGCATAAAAATTGCGCATACGCAGCGGTTTTCTGAATCATTTGGTTTTGCTTCTTTTTTTTTTGGTACATCGATTATTATTATTATTTTGCATTATGGCGCAGAAGATATTTTGGTGATGGCCCAATGCTTCGATATATATATATATAATATGTACATATGTATGTAAAAAAAAACGTGCGTCTGTGAGTGTGAGTGTGTGTGTGAGTGTGTGTAGGGGGTGGGATGCGGAGGTACATATTGTGTTGAAAGCACTCGCGCCAAATGACGCAAAATGTGCTGCGCCAAAGCGAAATTGTTATTATAATTTTGCGTTGTTGTTGTTTTTGTTTTTCACTTATTATGATCTATTTGTGTATGTATGTATGTGCAATTTCATCAAACGTTGAGTGCTCCATGAGCCACCTCTTGGCCCTGATGGCCTCTCTCCCCATGATGGTCATGTGCAAATCGAATGCCCAATATGGCCAAGGAAACTCTCTTCTTTCTTTTCGCTTGTGGCATGACTGATCTACGGCAAATAAAATCAATTGAGTTAAAAAAAAATTTCCATGCCGCATTGAACTCTGGTGGCAAGAGTATAAAAATTACAAAAAGAAATTAAAACAGAAAATCGCAAAAGAAACCAAACAAAAAAAAAAAAACAAATAAAAAGCAAAACTCACACAAAATGTACAAAATTGGAAATGCCAATGAAATTCCAATGTGCACACATGCAGCTAGATATATATATATATATAAATGTATAAATGCAAAAATAATATATATATATATTATGTGTAGAGAGTAGAGACGATATATATATCGATCGATATGTACATATCCGACAGTGAGAAATCGCCAACTCTTGTAAGACATGTGTAAATATTTACGTTTCATGAGGCGAAATGACGTCGACGTCGACGACCGACGCAAGAATTTTGGAATTTGGCATGCTTGAAGGACGCCTGCTTGTTGTTGTTGTTGTTGTTCTTTTTTATGGCATTGTTACTGTGTACGTAATCAAGTGGAATCTGTTGGATTTCCATGAATCACAATCATATATATAAATATATATATATATATATATATAGATACAGATAAGTACAGTTCTGCATTAAGAGCTCGCCCAGTTTGACTTGGTTATTTGTTTTGCTGATAATCAGGATTTGTGTGTATTTTTCGGTTCATATAAAGATTAAAAATTACTATAAATAACCCGTCACATCGAATCAGATTAAATACTTGTTCAAGAATTTTTATAGATGAGACTTTTACTTACTTACTTTTGCTATTTGATACCGTATATAGTTTATCTGTCTCAAAATTTACATAAGAAGGAAAAGAGATTATATTTGTCGCAAAGCCATCGCCTAGTAGAATGAACAATATGAGGAATATATTTGAAAACGCATTATTCTATCGCAACTCATTTAAATTTTAAGTAAGTCTTCTTAGATCTTGATCAGCATATACTGAATATGATTAGCAGCTGCAAGATTCTTGGCCATCTGTTGCGCTCAGTGTATTTGTGGGCCAAACCAATTGGTCAACAACAATGTGCTAGGCTGCTGCTGGCTGCGCACAAAAATAAAATCAAGAGAACGCAATTAATTTGTATAATTATCATTATTTTTAAATGTTCTGTCTCTCTCTCTCTCTCTCTCTCTCTCTCTCTGTTTATCTCTGGCTCTCTCTCTCTTTCTTTCATCTCTTGTCAGATCATTGCATATGGACAAATTTGTCATGACCTGTGTCGTATCGCTAGCGACGTCATAGCTCCCACTACAAATCCAAAAAACCACAACCGAAACCAAAATAAAACATGAACTGTAAACACCTGAATAACAAAGGAACACCCACTCGATGCGTTTGCTCCTCCGGACGTGGCGTCACACTGGCCAAATATTTGGAACCTATTTTTAATCTAAATATCTAATTTTAAACATGCCGATGAGTAGAGCTATTTAAACTGGAACTTGATAAGACATTAGTAACCCATAGATAACCTCGTAACATCTGCTGCTGATTAGGGCATCAGACGAATTTCATAGTACGAATTAATGAAAGTATTTATTTAGTCGTTAATTGTTGCTTCTTTGCAAATGATGTCTTTCTCTCTGCCACTGATCATCGCCGCTGTTTGCATTGTTCTGGCGCTGGCGACGCTCAGCTGGCTCCCATTGCGTTCGTGGCTGAGACGCCGCCGGCGGGCTTATGAGTTGGCCGCTTTATTGCCAGGACCCAAGACCCTCCCACTGCTAGGCAATGTGAATCTGTTCTTGGGCCTGGAGCCATCACAAGTGCTGTTGGTGATTGTAGAGCTGGCCGAAAAATATGGTGATACTTTCAAATTGAAAATGGGCTTCAACTTTAGCTTCATGATGTTCAAGCCTCGAGACGTTGAGGTCGTTCTCGGCAGCACTTTCCTACTGGACAAGGCCATGGAGTACGACTTCCTCAGTGACTGGCTAAATGAGGGCCTCCTCGTCAGTGGTGGACGAAAGTGGCATCAGCGCAGAAAGATCATAACACCCGCCTTTCATTTTCGTATCCTGGAGTCATATGTCGAAATATTTGAGAGACAGACGCGACAGATGTTGGAACGACTTCATCAGGCACGCGGCAGCGATGGCACCAATCTTATTGAGTTGGGACACGCGGCCCATCTATTAACCCTTGATGTGATCTGTGGTAAGCGTTAAGGTCACGTCCACTTCCGATCCCAAAACCTTATTGTGTAAATTGATCAAATCATAAAATCACCTTCTATTTTAGAGCTAGACTCACCAAGCTTGGAGGGTTTATTATTAGTAATCTCCTCCTTGGTAAGATAATTTCCTAGACACAAAGAAATCGTTTATTTTGTTGGATCGAACAGAGGCTTATAATATTTATATGCATATTATTGATCAACTAGGAAAATGGTATTAAGATCGGATATGAATCACACTAGTCATAGTCTAAAACGTATTCTCAGATAACAGGTATCGTAAACATATTTGTGTATAGTAGTAGCAGCATCTCTTTAAACACAATTATGTGTACACATACACACATATGTATGTATGTATATATATGTATACATATGTATGTATGTATATTCTATGTATATGCGAGTACTTGTCGCAGTCCGGTGATTTCTGTTCGGGCTTGTGAATAAATATATGCGCTGCCTTTATTCTATGTTTACTCTTAAGTGCCTGTGCCAGCCATCAAGAATGATTTCTTTTGCATACCTGCTTACATTTGGGTATGCAAAACTTTACAAAGAAAAATTTGGCAACAGCTGGGTTCAGCGTATATATATATATATATACATATATATATTTTCCAAGCACATAAATAAAAGCATTTTTATCTTTGTCAAAACTGAACTGATTTTCAGTAATAATATTTGTGATAGACGAGTTCATTCAAATGAATACTTTTAAGTATTATTGTTTTTATAACTGTTATTATTATATTCGAACCCGTCCGTGACCACCAAGTGTGAATTTCGCTTGACAACACGTCAAAGTCCAAGGATGATTAGAAAATCGAGACAGCATTTAGACTATAACTCAATAAATGCAAAATTAGGCTGATTGTACTAAGCGGATAAGCGCAGCGATTAGATTTCACTCCATTTCAGCTAACAGAAATGGTTTTGCTTTGCGTTTGTTTTACATTTAGTGTTCAGATAGGTTTCAATTGGTGCAGCTGAAATAAAAAAAAAATGTTTCTGGTGTTGGGGTTGATTTTGGGTAGCGCCATATTTGTGGGTCTACTCATCTATCAGCTGAAGTTTAAGCACCTCATCGAGGTGACACGAGACTTGGGCAGTCCGCCATCGTTGCCTTTGGTCGGACATGCACATCACTTCATTGGAAAAGCACCACATGAGTTGATGCAGACCATTTTCAACTTCTTGGAAAAGTATGGCAAGGATATGACCCTGAAGATTTGGCTGGGTCCGGAGCTCAATTTATTAATGAGCAATCCCGAAGATTTAAAGATCATTCTAGGCACACTACTCTTTAATGACAAGGCTGGCGAATATAAAGCCTTAGAGCCATGGCTTAAGGAGGGTCTACTTGTTAGTGGTGGCCGCAAATGGCATAATCGAAGAAAGATTATTACGCCCGCCTTCCATTTCAAGATTCTCGAGCAGTATATCAATATATTTCAGCAGCAGTCTGTACTCCTTTTAAGCAACTTGGAGAAAGAGCGGCGACAGCAGGGACAGACGGGTTTCAATCTATACGATTGGATTAATCTGTGCACCATGGACACAATTTGTGGTTGGTATTCTCGGTCATCGGGATTACTTAAGGATGGGTTCGCATGGGAATTAAATGTTGATAAGTTAAACATATTTGGCTATATATACATATGTTTGTTAAAATCAGTTCAGTTGGGGTTTGGGGTTTTTTTTGTCAGTATTTTTATTATTTTTTTATCTGTCTATTTCGATGTGATCTGCTCTCTAAGTTTAAAAGCTTTCTTGATGAAACTGGAAATACATCCGTCTTTTTGCTTTCCTTTGCTCAACGCAAAACAGAAACAGCCATGGGTGTCTCAGTCAATGCCCAGACCAATGTGGACTCGGAGTATGTCCAAGCGGTGAAGACCATATCGATGGTGTTGCATAAGCGAATGTTCAACATATTCTATCGCTTTGATTTGACCTACATGCTTACCCCGTTGGCCAGAGCGGAGAAACGTGCTCTCAATGTGCTCCACAATTTCACGGAGAAGATTATTGTGCAGCGGCGGGAGGAGCTGCTGCGTGCAGGGCAACAGGATACTGAGCCCCAGAGTGCAGGTGATGCAGATGTAGGTGCGAAGCGCAAGATGGCATTTTTGGACATCCTTCTACAGTCGACTATTGATGACAAGCCGCTGACCAATATGGATATACGCGAGGAGGTTGATACCTTCATGTTCGAGGGTCATGATACTACCTCGTCGGCCATAATGTTCTTCTTCTATAACATTGCAACGTATCCGGATTGCCAGCGCAAGTGCCTTGATGAGATTATCTCAGTGATGGGCAAGGATAAGGAGTCGCCGGTCACTTATAATATGTTGAACAAGCTGTCCTATGTTGATCTGTGCATCAAGGAGACGCTGCGCATGTATCCATCGGTGCCGCTGCTGGGACGCAAGGTGCTCAAGGAGTGCGAAATAAGTGAGTCCTTTGAATATATTATTTCTTTTTTAAACTACTTAGAAGTTTTCTTAATGATATAAAAAAATAAAAACGTAATTTTAATTTCAAATTCAAATGTCAATTTTTGTTTTCCAAATAGATGGCAAAATAATTCCTGCTGGCTCCAACATTGGCATTTCCCCGCTGTATTTGGGCCGCCGTGAGGACCTCTTCAGTGATCCAAATACCTTCAAGCCAGAGCGCTTTGATGTAGTTACCAGTGCCGAGAAGCAAAACCCCTATGCCTATATACCCTTTTCGGCGGGACCGCGTAACTGCATTGGCCAGAAGTTTGCCATCTTGGAGATCAAGGCGGTTGTCGCTAATGTCCTGCGTCACTATGAGATTGAGTTTGTGGGCAATGCGGCAGAGCCGCCAGTGCTCATTGCTGAATTGATCCTGCGCACTAAGGATCCACTCATGTTCAAGCTGAAGGAGCGCGTCTATTAAATACTACTCACATTTTTTTTTTTTGAGCGCCTTGTATATATTTTAATAAATTTTATGAACATATAATAATTATAATAGTTACCCGTATAATGTAGCGAAAAATAGAATGAGCATGTCAAAGAGAAGGAAAAACGGCGTTAGTGGTTGGCAGCCTTCCGCACCTGGAAGACAGACCATCCTCCTGTAAAGACGAGGAACCTTGTCTCTGCTTGTGTGTGGCATGAAATTAAACGCTCCAGCTGTGAAAGGCATGGAGTAGAGTACTTCTAATCAGAGCTGTGTTCCTGTGTTCTCGGTGTCTTTTGCTGCACAAGCCCGTGGGTGTCTCGTGGTTTTCCACTTGCAAGTATTTTTCGGAGAGTTCCGACACTGGACCGAAACGTCGTTTTCTGACAGCGCGCTTAAAAATCTTAATCACTTTTTATTTGAATTAATTTTCCATGATTGTACTACAAATAGGTTGACTATAAATAAGCTGACCGTTATTTTAAAAGTGTATGCAATTATTATGTTAAGTTACACAAGGGAGATTTTATTAACAAGTGTCTTACTCATTAATTTCAAATTTGAATGTAAATACAGATTGAATAACAGAATTGTTGTTTGTAAATTTGTGCTGAAACAAATAATATTTACGCTATTTACGCTTGTATATTTCGCCGTACTATTAATATGGTCTAGCTGACGTCACAAGTCTGCAGAATAACAGTCCTGAGCCGTGCAACATCTTCTGTACTTTATTTCTTAACGTTGTCCACTACTAAGCACAATTTTTTAATTGGGTGGCAGCCCTACAAAAGTGACGCTGTTGAATTTCACAATCCATTAATAGGCAGTAAAAATGTCGGAATTCAGTGATAATGCGTGTGATTCTGTAGGGGTGGAGCAGTTTGCAAACTTACAGCAGCCGGAGCAGGTGATGGACGCTGAAAATAATGTTGGTGATGCCACAGAAATTGAATTATTGAAAAAATTTGTGACGCTATGTTTGGAGCATACGGTAATTTACTGTAAATAATCATTGTAATTGGCTTCGTTTTGATTGACAAAGTGTTTCATGCAGGTCACGGATAACAAAAGGGTCGAACAGCTCATAACCTATGAGCAAAACAGATCATCTGTAATCCTGGATGAGAAAATGCGGCTGCTGACCCGTCTAACCATTCCAATTGAAAACAAAGTGTTCACAGTGGAACACATCATTAATATTCAAGGGAAATTGTTGGAACAATTCCATAAGCTGTTTAAATCTGAGAAAGAATATTTACGTGCATATGATGCCCATTGTAACAAGGTCATCTGTGCAAATAAGGAGATCAACAATACTGCGGGATATGATGAATATACCGAAATGGTAACTGCAAATTTTCAATAATACATTGCAGAGTTTGATTTTTATATCTTTGCGAATAGGACGGTATAACGCTGGCGGATGTCATCGATAATGTGCGAAAAGCACATAGTGACCTTGACGGTGTTTGCGCGGATAAAATTGTCAAATTTGAGCTGGAGCGTCAGGAAAGTGAAGCAAAGTACAAGTCATTATTGAAGGAGATAGAAACCTTTGAAAGTTACTACCAAATGGCAATGTAAGTCCAGTTAAATAAAATGTAAGAAATACTCATCTATCTGATATTGCAGCGACTATATGGAGCAGCTGAAATTCAAATCGGAAATGCGTCTACGCGCGGAGAAACTCCAAATAAAATAGTAATCATCTATATTAGACAGTTATTATTGACATAATTTGTTATTCACAGAACTCCAATTTTATTTTTTTAATGTAGTAGATATTCAAGTAACTTTAGTATAGAGTATAGAGTCAACTCTGGAGTTGACTCAATGGAGTTGACATTATACTCAACAGTTACTTTAATGATAACAGATACGATATGAAATAACTGAAAATTTCAATGTATCAATTACACTTTTAATTTTTCAATAACATAAAACTAAATTACATACATTCAATTAAGATTCACTACTTTAACCATAGAATAATTGGTAATAAATATTGCTCCAATATTCAGATTAAACTTTCAATTTTGATTGTACACTCAAATATCAGGCGGGTAAACGCATTCCGATGTTTTTTATTCTACTTAGGTTGTATCGATAAGATACATCGATAGATAAATCATCTGTTTTGCTGTTATCGATAATCGAAAGGATATCGGCGACGTGAGAGATAATGCTCGTTTGGTATTTTGGTTATTAATTGTAATTGTGAAATTGTTTACAATTGTTTTGGCCACGTGAGCGTGCACATTATTTATATTTTCCGGGCATGGACGACTTCTCGCGTCAACAGATCGATGACTGGCACCTGCGCCCGCCCAGCGATGTGCGCACAACGTGGGTAGACCACAAATAATTCATTGATCAACTTCAATCAACCACTCTATTTAACCTTACTGTAGAAATGTGCCGGCGGCGCCAAAATCCGTGCCAGACAATAAATCACGCAAAACTGAGCTGCACGTGCTGCGATTAAGCGATGAGTCACAGCAGCTAACAATGGACACGTTGCGCTCAGTACATGGTCCGGATTTTAAGTTGGACGACATTGGCAAATACAAGGACCGAGGTCGTGGCGGCAAGGGCATTAAGCACGCCTACTGGGAGGATAGGGGAACGCTGCAAGTGCAGAGTGTGCAGGGCGTCAGTGGACCAAGCAGCACGGCCGACGATGATCGACTGCGTCGCTATGCGCTGCTTAAATTGGAGAGTTACGCATTTCAGCCAGAGCACTGCCTAGAGGCTTACGAGCATTGCTCTAACGATACGGAGGCAGCGCTGCTACTACTCTATAGACGCTACATGCGCATCCCCAACGATGAACCGACGGCATTGGATGTGCCCGATGAGGCGGCGCTGCTGGATATGCGTGCCGATGAGAAGGAGGCGCTGCAATCCATCTATGAACGGGCGTATGAGGAGCGTGAATACAATAGCGTTTGGAATCTAAAGTTCAAAATCGAACATCTGCTTGCCCACAGTCCGTCGGAGGTGCGGAAAGCACGTGAAGCCGTCAATGCGGCAGCAGCTGCTCTCCGCCAGGCAGCACTGGACAAGAAGAAGAAGCCGCCGCAACGTTGTCGCAATTTCGATCGCGATGGCACTTGTAAATTTGGGCCCAAGTGCCGCTTTGCGCATGTGCCGCCCCAACCGGAGGAGCTGAGTACGCCCGAGCGCAAGCGTGCCGATAATCTGGATGAGAATGAAAATGAGCTGTGGTTTCATGTAGAGATACGCTTTCCCCCCGGAAGTCGCTATCCGTACGAGGCGCCCTTTATCTATCTGAAGACCACTTGTCATGATATTCCGCATGAGCTGCGTTTGCGCTTTGCTCGGCATTTGTATCGGAAGGCTCGTGAGATTTGTCGGTATGGCACACCCTGCGTCTATAGCGTCTGTGACATGCTGCAAACGGATGAGGGATTGGCTGACAGTTTGGACATCACACGCTTTCCCTCGCCCAAGCATTCGCTCTTTCACGAGGAGCCCAATGGCGGCGATGTCGATGGCAATGCGGGTGGTGCGGCTATAGCGCCTCGGCCCAGTCACTATGAGCGTGGTCAGACTGCGCGCAATGATGGCAATACCCAGCGACGCAATGCAGCTGAACTGGCGCGTGAGAATCGTCGTCTTCTGCAACTGTTTAACGAGCGACGTCGTGATGAGCGATATCACAAACTCATCGAGGCTAGAAGGAAGCTGCCTGCTTTTGCTGAAATGGAGCACATACTGGCGTTGATTGATAGCTCACCAGTGGTGGTCATCTCCGGTGAGACGGGTTGCGGCAAGAGCACACAGGTGCCTCAATTCATTTTAGACAATTGGTTCTTCAAGGCACTGCAGCTGCCTGCCAAGTCGGATTTACCTCATGTGGAGATTCTGTGCACACAACCGCGTCGCCTGTCCGCGATTGGTGTTGCGGAGCGTGTTGCAAACGAGAGGCTGGATCGCATCGGGCAGCTGGTGGGCTATCAGATACGTCTGGAGAACAAGATTTCGGCTAGCACAAGGCTCAGCTTCTGCACGACAGGCATCCTTTTGCGTCGCCTCGCATCCGATCCGCTGCTGAGCAATGTGACCCACGTCATTGTCGATGAGGTGCATGAGCGATCGCAGGACTCGGATTTCTTGCTGCTCATACTTAAGAATATTTTGCGCGAGCGCAAGGATCTCAAAATAATACTCATGTCCGCCACGCTGAATGCGGCTCTCTTCTCCGATTACTTTGGCGGTGCTCCCGTGTTGGATATACCGGGGCGCACCTTTCCCGTGCAGCAGCTGTTCCTTGAGGATATATTGGATGCGAGTGATTTTGTCATGGAATGTGACACGAAGTTCTGTCGCAAGCTCAAGAAGAAGGAGCAGGATGCCCTGGAGCATGCGCTAGAATTTGCTGATGTTCAGGCATCGAGTGAACCGCCGGGCCAAAAGGTCAAGGACGAGAATCTTACCCTAGCCGAAACATATGCACGTTATGCGGGTAAGCTGTAATCTTTAAATTATACTTTAACTCGATTTTGGCTTTACAGTTGACCTTTATATCTCTCTGGTTGCGGGTTATTGCAGACTTCAGCAAGACGACGTGCAAGAACATCTACCTCATGGAGCCGATGATGATAAATCCGGAGCTAATTGAATCCGTGCTCAAGTACATTGTGGAGGGCGAACACGAATGGCCACACGAGGGTAGCATCCTCATCTTTTTGCCCGGCTTCCAGGAGATACAGTCAGTGCATAATGCACTCCTGGACAGCTCGATATTTGCGCCGCGTGCTGGCAAATATGTGCTGGTGCCATTGCATTCGGCGCTCTCTAGCGAGGATCAGGCGCTGGTTTTCAAGCGTGCACCGGCAGGCAAGCGGAAAATTGTCCTTAGCACGAATATTGCTGAAACATCGGTTACAATCGATGACTGCGTTTTTGTCATCGACTGTGGCTTGATGAAGGAGAAGGGTTTCGACTCGAACCGCAATATGGAATCATTGGATCTGGTATGGGTATCGCGTGCTAATGCCAAACAACGCAAAGGTCGAGCCGGTCGTGTCATGCCTGGAGTTTGTATTCATTTGTACACCAGCTATCGCTATCAACATCATATCCTGGCACAACCGGTGCCCGAGATACAGCGTGTGCCGCTCGAGCAAATTGTACTGCGCATCAAGACACTCCAGACGTTCGCGTCACGCAACACATTAGCTGTTCTGTTGGAGACACTTGAGGCGCCCAAGGAAGATAGCGTCCTGGGTGCCCTAATGCGCCTGCGCGATGTGGGCGCTTTGGATGCTGATGATCAATTAACACCGCTGGGTCATCATCTTGCCGCGTTGCCTGTCGATGTCCGCATTGGCAAACTGATGTTGTACGGAGCGATCTTCCAGTGTCTGGACAGCGTACTTACCATTGCCGCCTGTCTCAGCAACAAGTCACCCTTCCTCAGTCCATTAAATAAGCGCGTTGAGGCGGACAAACGCAAGCGACAATTTGCCCTCGATCACAGCGATCATTTAACCGTTCTCAATGCCTATCGAGTGAGTAAACAACTAGCTGCAATTACAATCTGACTGAATTCACACTTAGTTTACACATTTATCCAAATGTTCCACTTACAGAAATGGCTTGCAGTGGCGAAACGTGGCCATTATGGTGCCAGTCGCAATTATGCCAGCGAGAATTATCTATCTATCAATACGCTGGAGACGATAGCTGACCTTAAGTATCAGTATCTGGAGCTGCTCGTCTCCATTGGTTTTGTGCCTGTGAATGTCCCCCGCAGACGGTCAAATGCCAGCGACAATATTCTACAGTTAACAGGTGAGTAAAATAACTAAAAAAAGAAAAGAAAACCTCAACATCCAAGTTTCACTCTCGTCACGCAGGACATGAACAGAATGTGAATGGTGAGAATAATCGCTTGCTTACCTCGCTGCTGTGCGCTGCTTTATATCCGAACATTGTCAAGATTATGACACCAGATCGCATCTATATACAAACCGCTGGTGGTGCTGTGCCCCGCGAACCAGGCCATCAGGACTTGCGTTTTAAGACGCGCGGCGATGGTTATGTGCGCATACATCCCTCATCGGTTAACTCACAGGTCTCTGTGTTCCAAGCACCATTTCTCGTCTACCAGGAGAAAGTTAGCACCAGTTCCATCTATATACGCGACTGCTCCATGCTGCCACTCATCGCGCTCGTGCTCTTCGCCGGCTCTGATTTCAAGGTGGAGCTTCACGATGGCGATTTTCTCTTTCTGCTCGAGAGCGGCTGGATTATATTGAAGGCGCACAATCACGAAACTGCCGAGCTCGTCCAGTGCCTGCGCACGGAGCTGATCAAGCTGCTCGAGGAGAAGATACGCGATCCGTGCCTTAATTTGCTGCACCATAAGAACGGCTGTAAGATCATCTCCAACATCGTGTATCTGATAAGCAACAATTACTGATATCAAATGCAATACAACGTTTACACTCATGATCAATGCTTTTTTTTTTAATATCTAATTGTAATACTAGCCAAGTTGACGATATATAATAGCCAATTAAGCCAATTTATAGAGCCATTAATAACAATTTATTGTTTGTGTTAAATACAAATACAATCAATATAGAAGTGACTGTGACCAGGGCTACCAACTGGCCAAAGGACCTCGAGATCGTCCCTGTAGTTTCCGAGCTTTTAAGGATTTCACGTTTTTAGACCGCTTTCTCCGTTAAAAAAGATTCTAGTGTCCGGTTTTCAGAATGCCAAAGAGTAGAGTTGATCTTTATGATCCTAGCTCATCATACGCATATAAAATCTACATATTTTGATAAATCAATTGGCCTTGCCTTGCTCTGGTCCTTTGATCAGTCCTTAGAGCCTGCTTTAAAACTAATAATTATCTGAAACTTGTTCTTGAACAGGTTCCCTCCGCATATCATATATTTAGACCAAAAGTATGCTTTTTATTTGTGTCGCTTTCCAGCTTGTAGATTTATGATTTATCATAAAAGAAGACAGTGTTTTGATGACTTTAAAGAAGTTGCTTGGCTGTGCTTTAAATATATAAAAGCTTGTTGCAGAATTCTCGAATTGTGTGTGTGACTTCTTACATGTTATAAATTATGCATTATTTAAAATTGGCTAAAACCACAAGTTAACAGCATATCCAACTCCATAAAAAAAAAACAAATTAATTTATTTAAATATGTTATTCCCATTTATTGTAAATCTTATTGTGCATCTTTTGTGCAATTCTATTTTCGTCCTTTGGAAACTTCTTAATTAAAAAGTAAAAAGTATCTTACGATGCTTGAGGTAAAGGTTAATATTTACTGATTTATCACTGATCATATTCATGGTTTATTTGCCATCCATACGTCAAATGATTTTGATAACTTTTTGATTCGCCTACATTTGGGGGAAGTTCATCAATCAAAATAGAATATTTATCATATTATTGCGTTGGCCTGAAGGTTGTTCAAACAAGAACTAAATATGTATGCAAGTACTAAATGAATATGAAACACTGCCGCCTGGCGACCATCACGTTCTCGATCCCTCGATCGATCTATAAATCAGGTAAGTGACGCAGGTAACACTGAGTTGACATTTGTTCGTGGACATCAATTACAATTAATTTGAATTTATTTAAATACACTTGATTCGCTCTGGCAAGCTGGTTTTATTTGTTTATGTTTCTCTTTATTTTTTTTCATAACTGTTGATATCAACATCGATACATCAAAGTATCAAATGCACCTAATTCGATAGTAATTAATTAAACTTATCAATGATAAGACGAAAGAAATATGCGCGTAGTGCAAATGAATCACAATCCAAATCAGAATCGGATGTGAATATTTAAATTGAACCGAGTAATAAATATAAGCAGTTCGTCTCTCTTTCAAGATCACTGAAAATGTAAAGAGAGAACTGATCGCTATATTTATTTATCAGCTGATAATCGCATTCGAATTTTGATTGTTAATATTTCTGTTGAGCATTACAAAATTCTGAACTGTTTTAGTTCCATTTCAAGCTCTTCTCTTTTGTAATTTCTGTCTCTCTATAAATATATATATATATATATATATGTATATATCTCGCTCAATTTACTTATCTCCGTTTTGTTCTCAATGAAATTTCGCACTTCTTTTGTTGGCTGCACTGCATCTTTTAGCACCTAGATGAGTTATTTGCACGCTCTGATTTTGGCTTATCGGTTTTGTGCCCTCTTCTAAAACTAATACCGGACTACACACTACACGATCTGAATGTGAAGCTTGTAACACATATGTATATATGTACATACATATTATATACAACAATGCAGAACAAGCACGCATAAATATATATTTTTTCATTCGAGGATTTAGTATTTAAAAACATATTTTCAAGATTTCATTGGTTTATCTAAGAAAATTAAAAAAAAAAAGTACTTGTATGAATAAAAAACCAAATTAAAAAAAAACTGCGTAAAATTTTTGTTATTATTTCTAACACACTCTAGCGTTAATTACAAAAATCTCCGGATGAAAACCATAATGTTTGTTTTCAAAAATAGATACTACTTATTATTAGTTAATCATCTTTCTCTTATCATCTTCTGGGAGGGGACTTACAAAACTCGTATGTCAAATTCGTTGCCAAGCTGAAACTTTAAAGGCAACGGACAAAATTTCGTGGCATGCGTCAGATGGCACGTGATTTAAGTTTTTCAATTTAAATTTTGTTTCGGAATTACATTCATAGAAAGTACTTTTTTCTTAGGACTCATTTGACATAGATGTGGATTGCATTTAAAGGCCCGCTTCGCTTTCGTAGGGCATTTCTTGACTCCAGCTGACCAATTGCCATTGTCATGGTCGGCAACGGCGGTCGTTTGCTCCACATTATTATGTATTTTGTATTTTTTTTTTTTGTTTGTGTGTGGTGGCTACCACTTAAGCGTGAGTTTTGTTTGTGATCACTAAGCTGAAGCTGGCGTCGCTGCAGGTGTTGGCAGCGACAGAAACGGCGGCAGCAGCAACGGCATCTCTTATCCAGTGCGAAAATGTGAATGCGTATGTAGGAATGATTTTCTCGAGTGTTTGTCATCAACACTATCTTTTGCTGTAGAAGTGCTGTTTGCTGTTGTTCTTGTTGTGGATATTGTAGTGATGCCAACAGCCGTGCTTGGAAAAATATAAATGGGACATATAAATATAAAATAAATTTGTAATAATACAAACAAGAAGATTTTGCAAAGTAAAGGGGATAGTGGGATTCAAAGCTGAGATCCTAACTTATTTTGAGCATTTACATTTCTCTTACAATTTGGAACTAAGGTTTTGGTATTTGCTCGAACTTTTTCTCTCCGTGTAAATTTATTTGTATATTGCTTACATTTAAAAGCTGACTCAACTGATTAGAGTCCTAAGTGGGGGGAGCAAAAAGGAAAAACAATGCGATAATTTAGCTCGAATAATCAGTGCCATCATATTATTGTAAGATGCACAGAGCAACAGGCACAGTGTCCGCAGATCTCAAAGAAATCAAGTGAATCCTGCAACATTACGCATGCGCCAGTCCTGCCAGATCATAGGAATCAGAAATACAATATCATGTGATATATGTTGACAAGGTGGGTTGCGTTGCTGTTTTGGGTGGGTCTTTAAAGTTTTGCGCCTCCGTCGTAAAGCACTAAATCCGCAGACAAAACATTTGTTGGTATTGTTGTGGGTGTGTTTGGGTTTGGCGTCAGCAACGGCAACGGCATCGGCCCCATTTGGGCGGGGGAGGCACCACATTGCCCCGTTGTACATTAATTTTGTATTGTGGCAGTAGTATTGGGTTTGAACGGAGACTCGTCTGTGTGTAAATGCGCTCACAAATTTGCTGCTACGCCAGTTAAAATACCAACAACAACAAAAACAGCAGCAACAACATCTAAAGAGCATAAGAACAATACACAGCCGAAATCAATGCTTTCCCGGGCACAGTGGTTATCTAGTTGTACGAAATGTAAACATTCATTTCAGCCCAAGTCTAAGGGAAAATGACAAACATAGATGGGTAAGAAAATTGATGGGTAAGAAAATTGCTCGATTCCACATCCTGCAGAGCTAAAACAATTGCATATTTGGGTTGATGATCACGAATTTTCGTTTAGGCTCACGAGTATTATACCACTGTGCGATCGTTGTACGGTGCCGTTCGTTGGTAGCAAAAACGTAAGCAATACTCTGCTGTCGATATTAATATGGGCCCAAGGGGGGTAAAGGAGATGGCTAAATAAAACGGTTCGCGATTTTCGTAGTTGTCTTTTGTCGATTGACGAATTTTTTTTATTTTTATTTTTTTAATGTATATGTGTAATAGTTAGTCGCAGTAGACACTGTAGACGAGTGCGCTAACTGAGTATGTTGAGTGGTTGTGTGTCTGTGTGTGTGTGTAGGAGGAGTGGGGGTAAAGGGAGATGTGGTGTCAGGTCGGCGTTCAGCTCATCGTCGCCGCTTTTGACACAAACCACTCACTCACTCAAAAGCGATTCGTCCCTCTTCTCACGAATCGCAGTTGTCGCATTCCCCAATCGAACGTCGAGCGAGTCGACGGAAAGACTCCGATCGGGGGTCTTGAGTTATTTCGGCTCAAAAGTGAGTGAGCTGCTTGGATTAACAATAAAATTTACAAAAAAATCAAAGACAGCAAAACAAAAATAGGCAACAAAATTTAAAAAATACGAAACTAACACATTTTTCTGAAAAGCGAGCGTGCGAGAGAGAGGGAAAGAGAGAGAGAGAGAGAAAGAGAGCAAGCAAGTGTGAGCGAGCTAAACGAAAACGAAAAATATCAAAGACGAAGACGATCGGCTTCGTCAAAGGAGTTGTGTGATGTGTTTTAGTCGGACTCGAGCTTTAGCTCCCCAGTCTTGTGATGAACGTATCGCGTATTGTAGCGGCATAGCGTGCGTCTGAGACCCGTATAACCGTAGCCGTTACCTTACAGTTTTACCGTTAAGCGCGCAATCGAAATTCTAATTTGTCATTTCGCTGGGCTGCGCAGCTGGCGCGAGCAGTGGCTGTGGAAGCAGAGACGTGAGCTTCCAAGCATTTTAATTTACAAATCAACGTCACCACACACATACACACACACAAACAAATACGCAAACACCTAGACACACACCCACACTTAAGCACTCAACAAAAAGTGTCAACACGTCGCCTGCAGCGCTTCAATTTCAATTCAATGCGCGCCGTGTAACGGTAACCGTCCTGATCGTCGCGTGATCACCGGCTCTGTGCATTTTATTTTTTATTTTTGGTCTCTCCTGCATCGCATCTTTCTTTTCATCTTCGCTTCGCGTGTGATTGTTCCTGTTTTGCAGCAGGCTCAAAGCCAAAAGGAAATTTTGTCAAAGTGCAGTGCGAATAATTTTTTTTTTTTGTTAGTTATTGGATTTGCTTAAAAGTTGGTATCGTACTATAATATTATTATTTATGCCAAAGCCGAAC